CCTAACCTAACCTATAAAGATAGGTTAGGTTAGGTTAGATAGGGTTGGTTAGGTTCGGTCATATATCTACGTTAATTTTAACTCAAATAAAAAAAAATGACCTCATACATACTAAAATGGGTAGCTTTATCAGTTCATAAGAAAAAAATTAAAGAAAATCTATTAATTCAGGAAAACTTGGCTTATTAGGCAAATCGGGCCTTGCATAGTAGGCTGAGAAGTGAGTTCTGGCTACTAGGTACGACATATATATATATATATATATATGTCGTACCTAATAGCCAGAACGCACTTCTCAGCCTACTATTCAAGGCCCGATTTGCCTAATAAGCCAAGTTTCATGAATTAATGTTTTTTCGTCTACCTAACCTACCTAACCTAACCTAACCTAGCTTTTTTTGGCTACCTAACCTAACCTTACCTATAAATATAGGTTAGGTTAGGTTAGGTAGGGTTGGTTAGGTTCGGTCATATATCTACGTTAATTTTAACTCCAATAAAAAAAAATTGACCTCATACATAGAGAAAAGGGTTGCTTTATCATTTCATAAGAAAAAAATTATAGTAAATATATTAATTCAGGAAAACTGGCTTATTAGGCAAATCGGGCCTTGAATAGTAGGCTCAGAAGTGAGTTCTGGCTACTAGGTACGACATTATATATATATATATATATATATATATATATATATATGTCGTACCTAGTAGCCAGAACTCACTTCTCAGCCTACTATTCAAGGCCCGATTTGCCTAATAAGCCAAGTTTTCCTGAATTAATATATTTACTATAATTTTTTTCTTATGAAATGATAAAGCAACCATTTTCTCTATGTATGAGGTCAATTTTTTTTATTGGAGTTAAAATTAACGTAGATATGTGCCCGAACCTAACCAACTCTACCTAACCTAACCCAACCTATATTTATAGGTAAGGTTAGGTTAGGTAGCCAAAAAAAGCTAGGTTAGGTTAGGTTAGGTAGGTTAGGTAGACGAAAAAACATTAATTCATGAAAACTTGGCTTATTAGGCAAATCGGGCCTTGAATAGTAGGCTGAGAAGTGCGTTCTGGCTATTAGGTACGTCATATATATATATATATATATATATATATATATATATATATATATATATGTCGACCTAGTAGCCAGAACTCACTTCTCAGCCTACTATGCAAGGCCCGATTTGCCTAATAAGCCAAGTTTTCATGAATTAATTGTTTTTCGACTACCTAACCTTGTAACACTGTAAAAGTGTTTGGTTTAGTTTAATACATACATAGAGTACATGAGTCACAGACAGGGATTAGAGAAGGCGCCAGTTTGTCCACCGGAAAGTCACACGTCTAAGAGTTAATGACCCCAAGTGACCTGAGGTCAGATCATGAGAATTTCACCTTGCTTCCGCTAAGCTTATAATTGTAGTCTGGTAGCCTTCAAACATGCCGACATTTAAGGAGTGGCTTGGTAGTGCCGGAGGCTATCTACTTGTGGGCGGAGTTAGCTACTAGGTTCCCCAATATAAACTCGGAGAGCTATCGAGCATTCAAGGATTAACAGACAGAACGGTAGTCAGCAGAGCAGAGGAGACGGCCCTAGCAGGGAGGCTGTCCGCCGGCAGGGCGGGAGTCTCTGTGAACTACAGACCCCCCCCCCTCTCTCTATCCAGCTATAGGCAGAGACACTTGGTGAGTTGAGCAGTAAGGTGACTTGGTCGTGTTTACATATGTTGTGTGATGATCAGGGGCAGTCAAGTTGTAGGGTTCCCGAATTCTTGGATGATGACTCACTTTGCATATTAAACTGGAACATTTTAATTGAATTGCTAAATTATGATACTTCATGTGAAATATAATTATGAATTTATTATTTAAATTGTGTTTAACTTTGTTCCCTAGAGCTTTGAGTTGAGGTGAGAAAGCCTCTGTGGTTACTGGTTTCATGATATTAATGAGTACATGTTTGGAGTTGATACATGGTAATAACATCTTTTGAGAATATTTGGATACAGACAAGTTCCATTCCTTGTTTTGTATGTAATGATCATGAATGGATGGTGGCAGCATTTCGTCTTCTACTATCTACTCTTCTACGTCTACTTTCTACTCTTCTACTATTACCTATCTATTCCTCTCCCTCCACCCCTCTCTAAACTCTCACTTTCAGCTAATGACCCTCCTCGCTCCTCCCACCTCTACCTCTCTCACCCCAAACCCTCACTAATTACTTCACTATTCATTTCTTTCCTTTCGTTTTCTCTTATACGTTTGTGGCAATGATTATGTATTCTAGAGCTCTCTCTAGAGTTTCGGGTAACTGACCAAGTGACGGCGCCTTGTAGTCTTAGCACCTAGGTAGTCAAATACTTAGGTTACAAGGTGTTGAACGAGAGAGGTTGCCTTAGGAACTCTGGGAGTGCTCTAGAATAGTTAGCTAACTGGGGATGGGATAACGGACTAGAGAGAGCTGTTTCCCCCGGCCTCGTTAGTTAACTGGGGGGTGGAATAATGGACAAGATAGAGCTATTTCCCCCACCCCCCGTTACAACCTACCTAACCTAACCTAACTTTTTCGGCTACCTAACCTAACCTATAAAGATAGGTTAGATTAAGTAGGGTTGGTTAGGTTCGGTCATATATCTACGTTAATTTTAACTCCAATAAAAAAAATTTGACCTCATACATAATGAAATGGGTAGCTTTATCATTCCATAAGAAAAAAATTAGAGAAAATATATTAATTCAGGAAAACTTGGCTTATTAGGCAAATTGAGCCTTGCATAGTAGGCTGAGAAGTGCGTTCTGGCTACTAGGTACGACATATATATATATATATATATATATATATATATGTCGTACCTAGTAGCCAGAACTCACTTTTTGGCCTACTATTCAAGGCCCGATTTGCCTAAAAAGCCAAGTTTTCCTGAATTAATATATTTTTTCTAATTTTTTCTTATGAAATGATAAAGCTACCCATTTCATTATGTATGAGGTAAATTTTTTTTATTGGAGTTAAAATTAACGTAGATAAATGACCGAACCTAACCAACCCTACCTAACCTAACCTAACCTATCTTCATAGGTTAGGTTTGGTTAGGTAGCCGAAAAAGTTAGGTTAGGTTAGGTTAGGTAGGTTAGGTAGTCGAAAAACAAATAATTCATGAAAACTTGGCTTATTAGGCAAATCGGGCCTTGCATAGTAGGCTGAGAAGTGCGTTCTGGCTACTAGGTACGACATATATATATATATATATATATATATATATATATATATATATATATATATATATATATATATATATATATATATATATATATATATATATATATATATATATATATATATATATATACAGTATATACATACATACACACACATATATATATATTATATTATATATATATCTATATACAGTATATGCAAAAATATATGCAAAAACTAGATAATAGAAGAAAAAGAGGCGATATGATCACTGCGTACAAAATAGTAACAGGAATCGATAAAATTGATAGGGAAGAAATCCCGAGACCCGGAACTTCAAGAACAAGAGGTCATAGAGTTAAACTCACGAAACAAAGCTGCTGGAGAAATATAAAAAAATTCCCTTTTGTAAACAGTGGTAGACGGTTGGAACAAGTTAGGTGAGAAGGTGGGGAGGCCAAAACCGTCGGTAATTTCAAAGCGTTATATGACAGAGTGCTGGAGAGACGGGACACCACGAGTGTAGCTCTCATCCTGTAACTACACTTAGGTAATTACACAGAGGCACCTCCATTTATAAATTTAATGCATTCCCAGAGATAGTTCATAACCCGAAAATTTTTAACCCGAAGCAAATTTTCCCATAAGAAATAATGTAAATTGAATTAATCCGTTCCACACTCCCCAAAATATTAACTTCAAAGTACATTTCATACCTATTTCACACAAATATTTAGTAATATAATATGTACAAGTTATAGCTTACCTTAATTGATGACTGTTGTTGGCATATGGAAGATTGTGAGGAGAGAGGAAGGAGGTGGTATAGTGTTCAAATTAAAGTTGGCAGTTGGAAAATTGTTTTATATTGTTTTGAGAGAAGACATAGTTGTAATATTAGAGAATATTTAAAGAAAACACTATGGTCAGCATTTTTTTTGTTTAAGATGATAGGAAACTAGCTACTTATTTTAAAACACATTTCTTAAATATATAACAATAAAGCCAAAGAGATGCAAATAACACACAATACATACTAGGCTCCAGCTGTAGACAATTAGTTGATGCATTAGTTTCAGACTTCGAATTATTCATTTTCGCCTCAGCTGCATACTTCTCTTTCCATAATTGCTTTAGCTCTATGAGAACTATCTTATCAAACTGCTCGTCAACGAATTCTTCAAACATGCCATTAATAACTTTCTTCATTACCCTCCTGACAAATCGGTACTGCAATTAAGTACCGAAATTAACAGCTACTCATATCTGCACTTATCCTCCCAACAAATATCAATATGCAATGGTAAACAGAGTAAGGTTGAAGATCCTCAACCATTTACAGTATCCTACTATACAGTATCTGCAAATAAAATAAAAATAATCATTTTTGAGAAACATGATACAACTTTAAAAACACGTTTATCAAAAACAAAATACACCACAATCAAGTCTCTACATGCAATATCAATTGAAATACTGTACCGTACTGTACAGTATTAATCAAAATATGTTCGGTTACAAACGTTTTGGCTCAGTTTAATATAGTGACCACTTCAGTATCAAATCAAATGTTTATTCAGGTAAAAGTGCATACATACAAGATGAGTTACAAAGTTGGATTTATAGATAGAGCTAGTACATACAATGCCTAAAGCCACTAATACACACAGCATTTCGGGCAAGGTGTGGAGAAAAAAATATGTGTTTCAACCGGAATGGAGCTGTTTTCCCTGTACATCCTCTTTCAGTAAAATTAAGGACAAATCAGGAACATTACAGAGAATTTTGATGAAAACACATTAATTTTTATCAACACATTAATGTTGTATTGGAACCATTTTCATCTAAAAATTAATACTAATTGAGATCAAAGCATAAATTGAAAAAAAAATGGTTGAAATCAGCTGTTATTCAAGTTGGTCTACAAACAGTATTGACTGAAAATAGTAAGACATGGGTTGACATTTAGGGGTAAAGTAGGTTACATGGATTTTATTAGGAAGTACAGTACTTAGTCTTCCTCTGAAACTGGTTGAGAGAGATGCAGCTTTTGCCGTGATTGGGAAGGTCATTCCACATTCTGGGGTCCCTTGATTTGCAGCGCATTTCTAGTTTGGTTCAGACGCACTCTTGGAATATCAAATAAGTACAGTATTTGTTTCTGGTGTGGTGCCCATGGGTTCTGTTACAACCTTCTAGGAAGTGTTTAAGGTCAGGATAAGCATTACAGTTCAGAGTTTTAAATACTGTATATAGTGAACACTTGAGAGGATGTGCAGTGACTTAATATCTAACATATTCCAAGATTTAAGTAGGGGTAGCCAAGTGCTCTCTGAGGCCAGAGTTTGTTATTGTTCTAATAGCAGATATGTGTTGAGTAATTAGAGGACTTAAATGATTTTGAGTAGTAGAACCCCAACCACAAATACCATAATTGAGATAAGGATAGATGAGAGCGTTACCAGGGCTGGGGCGAGGTACATAATATCTAATCCTAGAAAGAATGCCAACAGTTTTAGAAACTTTTTGCTATACAGTACCTGTATTTTGAATGTGGCCCTGGAAATTCAGCTTGTTATCTATAAGTACACCAAGGAATTTACCATCTACAGTGGAACCTTGAGTGACGAGCTGCTCCAGTTACGAGTAAGCCACTCGCAGAAAATGTCTGGACTGAAGAGCTTTCGCTCGATTAACGAGTGTTCTCGCTGGTTCTCGGACACCTCCGACAACAGTTTTGTTGTTGTTTCGCAAGATGAGTTTTCCACATGAGTTCGGTGCCAGAACGGATTAAACTTCTTAACCGAGGCGCCACTCTTTATTACTAATTTGGATATTGTTTATTCTTGGATTAATTTGATCTGAGGATTTATTACCAAAAAATATATAGAAGGTTTCATCAATGTTAAGGGCGAGTTTGTTAGCAGTTAGCCAAAGATGAACTTTATTTAATTCAGTATTCACAGTAACATTCAGAGCAAGAGGGTTAGGACTGGGGAAATAAAGGTTGTGTCATCAGCAAATAAAATTGGGTTGAGAAAATGTAGATGAGAAAAAGGAGAGGGCCAAGTATACTGCCCTGTGGAACACCAGTATTGATGGGTAGGGTGGGAGAAATGCAATCATTAACAAAAACATACTGGAGCCTGTCATTAGGGTAAGACTGAAGGTATTGGAGGGAGTGACCTCTGACCTCATAATGATGTAATCTATATATATATACATATATATTATATACATATATATACATATATATACATATACATATATATATACATATATATACATACATCTGGAAAGGCAGGATCCAAGAGTCAATGTTCGATCCTGCAATCACTAATAGGTGAGTACATATGGCGGGCCGAAAGAGTAGAGCTCATCCCCCAAGCGGGTGAATACATACACATATACAAGACTTCTCAGTCTTGTACAGCCACTAGCACACATAGCGTTTGGGGGAAGTTCCTTAATCCTAATTTTCCTGGGAATACGACCCGCCAAAACAGAGACATTTAAGGACTGGCGCCCAGTCAATCGCCGGGGCGAGTGGGTTACCACTTCTACACGGGGGCGGGGGGCTGCTTTATGTATTTATTTATTTATATACAAGAAGGTACATTGGGTTTTTGAGAATACATAGCATAGTATTTACAATCTTGTAAAGCTACTAGTACGCGCAGCGTTTCGGGCAGGTCCTTAATCCTGCTGAACTCGAAGTACTTCGATGCTATCTTCTCTTATCATCCCCCCCTTCCATCACCGTAGGTAGTACTCACCGTAGGGTCTCTACGTTGCCGCTCAAGGAAGCGTTGCGAGGGACAAGACATGACTGCAGGAGACACGAGACAGACACAGCAGCAGCCGCCCAGGTACCTCGCCCGCCTCACTCTGCCTCGCCCTCGCCCCCAAAAAAATAAATCGTTCACTGGCCCTTTTGTGTATATATAACATTAATAATTTTGTAACTAGCGTCAAAAATTGTTATTTGCTTAGCTAAACGAACTAGAGGGTTCAGTTCCTGAACCGATTATGTGCCTCTGTAATCCTTTACACCACCTCCCACGGGATGGGTATGGGGTGCATAATAAAGAAAGAAATTGAATTGGCCCTTTTGTATTTACGAATCCTTTATTAAATATACGAACACGTTATTAAATATACCTTTGTTACACTTACCAAGTTTAAAATACAAGGTTAATCTCACTATGTTTAAACTTCAAGTCATTTTTAATTCTAGTACAGTGCATTGTTAACTTACAACGTTATTGTTATCAGTTATTTTATATTAAATAAAATAAAATATAATTATTTAAAAGAAACTTTTGTCGCCATAGCGTGTTTGAATTACTAAGATGAAAAAAGTAATTAAATCTATGCATCATTTGCGGAATTTACTTAGTTATGCATTATCATTTAGTACGGTTATTTCAATTATAATGCCACTTATTGTAAGCCTTATAATTTACTTATTATCTACTTTCAGTTATATTACTAAATTTTACTTTTACTTGTAATTCAATAGTTATATGAAATATATATTTGGTTATACATTACCATTTAGCAAAGTTAATTCAATTATAATGCCACTTATTGTAAGCTTTATAATATACTTATTATTTACTTCAATTAAGCCATTTATAAATCGCCCTATAATTTACTTATTATTTACTTTCAATTACATTACTAAAATTTACTTTAATTTATATAAAATAAATATTTAGCCTAGCATGAGTTTAATTTGCCCACCAAAAATTAATTTTTTGATTACTATGACAAATAAGAATACGATATAAAAGCTTACACAAAATGGGTAAATTCTACCATTAAACGGACTCTCTTGTCTGGTATACACACACAAATGAATATCAATTTATTACCATTCACCCATTATTAATTACAAATGTATAAAGTTTTTCCATTACCATTACTTGGTGCAATATTTGCAAGTTGTCTATTTATCTATAGATAGACCTAAATAAACCCACACTAGAAGGGGTATCTGGCAGTGCCTGGGTCTGCCTGTTCCCTTCCTTCCTACACTATGAGAACACTTCAGTCAGTTTATGAATCAGACATTGTCACACAATCTCATCAAAGTTTTTTTAGTTTAAAGCGCAAGTATTATGATTAATGTTTTTGTTTTTAATTTTAGCATGATCTGTGGCTAAAGTTTACAATGTGATGCAAAGAAAACAAAATACAAAATATTAATATTCGGAATTGAGTCATAATGCTAATCAGATATTTTGTGAGGGCCACATTGGGACAGTGTCATGTGGCACTCTTTATTTGATGCCAATCCCAATCTGCCCATGCTTGGCATGTACCCAACAGCAATTATTAGGAAATTTTTTACTATAGCTAACCCCAAGCATCTGGCCTCCAGCCTAATACAGACATTTCCACTTTATAGGTATAAATATAGACGAAGAGAAAGGAGGTTAATTATACAAACAGGAAGTATTTATTAAAGTTTTATTCCATTTTTTTATCATTAAAAATATATACAAAGAATTACCATATATATAATTCTTAATGATAAAGTGAGCAAAAAACTACAGTACTAGCTAAAGATACTAAAATTCATCTCGCAGAGCAGTTAGTCATTCAGGGGTATATGATCATTAGCTTGCATTGGCAAATTTTGGATGCATTATGATGACATCATCAAGAGTGGGTAAGGTAACTGCAAAGCTCCAGATACCTAATTCTAGCACAATACTGTACACTATAATAAGCACATCAGTATTTAAGGGGATTTTGAAGAAATTCAATGCCATGATTTACATTGTTATTTCCCACATGCAAAGTCTTGCATTTTCAATATTGATAAGTATTTGTCAGTCTTCAAATCATTTGTGGAGTTCATGTAGATCTATTTTTTTGCAAGGTCTCAATATCATTTTTACTTCCTAGTTTATTCATAGAGCTTCAGTGTCATCTGCATATTTGACGATGTGCTTTACATATATTCTCATCTTTCATCAAGAGTAAGCAACTTTGCACTTACCTTGGTCTAGTTCATTAAAAACTAATTTATAATTATTGCCATTGGATGAATAATGGGTAATTAACAGGTATAAAATATATGCAAATTTTTCATATACACAATATATTTGCATGGAAAACAAAATTTCATTGTTTCACAAAGCATACATGTTTTGGTTAGTATCTAGAATACAAAGATCACAAAGTAACATTCAAGAAAGAATGTTTTATAATATCTCACAACACCCAGTGTATGTTACGTGTCTTCTTGCCTTTCACTTCATATACACCACACACGTTCACAGACATACTTGAATGATTTATTTTTGTCTCATGTCTACAGTCTTTGAACACAACAAGGCTCATGCCTGTGGCTTGTAACTCGTATAAGTGTATTAATGTAGACTGTAGGGTATTACAAATTAAAACAAAACATTCATAGTTTGCGTTATACTCATTGGGATCCAACCCCATGAAAGTGGGAATTGGGGAAATAATAATGAAGATGAAATAATAATGCTGAAAAAATAATGATGATGAAATAATAATGATGATGATGAAATAATAATGATTATGTTGAAATAATAATGATTATGATGAAATAATGATGATGAATGATAATGATGACAACTGGATTTACAAGTAACACTTTGATTGAGCAAAATAATGGTTTACCAACCCATCACTCATCATTCAGTCTTTTTAAATGCTTCAATTATTTAAGAAGTTAACATTAGAATTAAAGTCAGAAGCTCAGTGTAAAAACAGAGTAGTTATTGCACCTATATTATTAAGTATTTCAATTATTTTTCAAACATCTGGATACAATTGAAACTGATATTTTGAACCAGCCTACTCACATTACTGAAAATTTGACTAGGTGAAAAAAAGTTTGTTAATGCATCCAATACATTCTTTCCACAAATATCCATATACTACACCCTTGGTTATGCTGTACTTAAAACCATTAAACAGTACAACAATTCAATAACACAGAGCACACATTTAAAATCTCTTAATAAATTTTAATCAGAGATTTGGTAAATACTTATAAAAAAAGCATTTAAATTCATAGCTCTACATTACCTCATACAGTACTGTATTAACCACCTTTAGGAAAGCTGCATAAATAATAAAGCTTTAAAAACAAAGCCATTTGGTCATTGTGCTGTAAATACAAATTTGTATAAATTTCCTGTAATAATCAATGAGCCAGTCAGGTAACTTTTGTCATCACCTAAAACCATCATACTCTTACCAGTTCTCCAACCTATGGATATATATTATCCTAGGCTTGGTATTAATAAAAAGTGACCCAAAATCTCTTAAGGGTTAGTTTGCTCAATGAGCATCTTCCTAAATATGACAATGTGACTGTGGATGCTCAAAGTTAGGTTTTTGTATAAAAGTAGCAAAACTACAATTGCATTAGTAACTCAAAGAATTACAGTACTTTCTATGAACTATAGATCCCACTCAACACTTGACATTTCAGCATTTTAATCTACTAACTGATATTACATAGGAATAGTCTGAAGAAAACAAATGTAAAGAGATACAGTACAATCATTTCACTGATAGCGACATTTTAAAAACAACTTTGAGTGATAAATAACAGATAGGAAATTAATATCAAATTAACAATCAGGGTTTATGTGTGTTATCTCAAAGGCAGTTAGTTTCACTAGATTTAAAAGCTTTTTACCATACCCCACACATAGGACTGTTTTCATCTTCAGATGCCATACTACAGCCCCATGACATGAAGCATGGATCATAGTCTATACTTACTGTACTTAAAAATGAGATGGCTATTTTTGGCTGCCAAGAAGGCAATTACTAACTGTTATATACACAGAAATTTACCGAGTCTTTACAAGTATAAAAATGTTTGTCTTTCAAGACAAAATGGCAGTGAAGTGATTTTATAAAAATGAGTTTTCTTAGACATGAAATACAAGTTATTTAACAAGAGTAAATCCCATAATTAATGCAGGTGATGCTGTAGTCTTCAACTGTAGTACTTTGCTATAACCCGATCAAATGAATCTTTGATAGCTTGTCTGAAAATTAAAAAATAGATATTAGCACACAGGGTGATTGATTGCATAATCTTTTCTAACATTATAGAGAAAGAAAAATGTCCATTTGATACCTGCTGGAAAATTACATATGAATATGCATATAAATACTGTAAATCAATAATTTGATCTTTTATAAGTAAAAAATTATATTCAAGCTACCATGGAGTCCTACTTAAATGTAACCTGGTGAACCAGATGTTTGGCAGCAACTGAAGAATTCTGTTCCAGTCGTAAGATCGTTGTGATTGTTTACAATAAAAAGTAACAGAATATTTTACAGTGGACTGAGTCCATGTATTCACTACATCAAAATACAGTGGCCAAAACATGAATGAAAATGTAGAGCTTCTTTCTCTTCAATGCACTGAACTGTTCCCTTAGGTAATGTTCTGTTCTTCTCAAAGATACGAGCAAGACGGAAGTCCTATCAACATTTCACTCCAGTGTGGAGAGACCTTTGAAATGTCCTTGCCAGGTCATACTTGGACAAGGGAGATAGTGAATAAGACTATCTAGCCCAGAATGGCCTCCAGAAAGTTCATTCATATACACTCGAAACCCTTCCAAGTGCTACTCAGTAAAGAGGCAAACCACCTTTGTCAATTACCAGCAGCTGAACAAACCAAGCCTCTGCAAAAATGGAGCTCAACCAAAATAAATAGTTTCAATCTTGGTTAAGACTGAAGATTTGAGTGGTAAAAAGTGGGGTTCTCTCCCTGGAAAAAAATTTAAGAGAGAAATGCAGAATGACAAAGAAGAGCAAGAAGCTCTACATCTATGTACCCATAGCCAACTAAAAGACCATGACACTCAAAATATTAAAAATAAAACTGAAGAACATCAAGAGACTAGGTGGGTCTCAACATTCCATGGCAGGGGTAATACACTCTTGTTAACATAATGCCAAACGGACAATTGTTGTAAATACTTAATGGATGCAACAACCATCCATGCATTCACTATCATTCCACCATTTTCCACTTTCATGGTGTGGCAAGGTATCAGCCTAAATAAAAAATATTGTTTAATAATTCAGTACAGAATAGTGAAAGGTTATATATAATAAATATAATACTGTACCACTCACTCATTTGTTATATGATTCACACTACAGTAAGCAAAATGATGGACAAACACGCACCACTACACTTCAGCAGTCACCCACAACAGCACTACACCACTTCACAAGAGCAGCTATACAGTGCTTCTTGTGAAGTTCTTTGCAAGAAACATTAATACAAATATTTTGAGTGCACACGCTTCCTTGAAATATTGTTAACACAAATGGTTTATAAAGCGCTAATACATACATTAAAATCCAGCAACAGAATTCCACTTTACAACTTTATCTTACTCTGGGCAACAGATGGCACAGAGGAATTTCAGTAACAAAATACATTCACTGTTTATCTCATTCTTGTGTACTGTACTATATATAGAATTTAGCCATAAACATATAAAGAGAGAGGTTACAGGACCTGCAAGTCTAATGTATATCTCGGAATGATAAAGAGGGTGCACTTTAGTTCATTCTCAAGGAAACTCAAACAGTATATAACCTTCACTTACCGAAATACTTGATGATTAAAAAGATAGGCAGTAACATGACCAGTGCGAAGAGTTCTAACCTCACTTCCAGGCCAGATTTCTGTGAGAGGTATTATTCCATCACGAGGCATGTACCTGAAGAATGTTGGCAAGTTACTGTTTCGTCTATTTATTGTCTGATCAAAATGCTCAATGTAAACAACTTTCATTCAGAGCAGTTACAATGCTTATCAATTTAACAAGTGTTTAATTGTATAAGATAGTGTGTGCCCATATTCCGATTAACTTAAGAGGCCAAAAAGTATGACTGTTCATGCAAAAACTTTTAATGATGTTATAAAATATTTTCTAAACTGTATAAACTTTTAATACCTTGATTAATTCTTATAAAATCTTATGGAGATGTTATACCTTGCAATGTGAATAATGTTACAAAGACTGGGAGCAATCTGATCTATTTAATATTTTAGGGTGGCACGTACTCCTCAATTTACATTAACCACTGGCACTGCCCAACTTACACAAATGAACTGCTGCATATTGATTTTTATACCCAACATTTCATCATCCTTAGGCATTTAAATTGTGTACTATATCTACAATTTGAATGTCAAATAGCAAATACTGTACTATACTGTGCCTACATTTATAATATTTGCTTAAAAATTATAGATGTAAGCTGAGCTATCATATTAGAATGCTTCCATTAGGAGCAGTAAAGCGATATTTGATGAATTGTTACAGATTACAGATAATTATAGGTAGAAATTAAAAAATGCAACATTGAGTGTCGATGGAAAAACTCCTTTCACAATTAGTCTCTTAGGCAAGGTGGTCCTGTTGCCATGGACAAGGAACACCAAAGAAACAGGGATCTTATTTAACATTTGTATTGGGTTACACTTCTGCAAGGGAGGCACTACAGAATAGCCAATGAGCAAGGAATGACCTTAAGAAGACTTTTGTCATTCACAATTGAACCCCCCTCTCAAGTGTTACTTATCACCAAAGAATACGAATGACTGCCTTCACCACTTAATTTTTTTTAGAGCATTTGAGTTCTATAAACAGATTCAAATGTAGATACAATAAGATTTCAAATTAACAAAATATATACTATACATACACAAATAACAATCAAATGCAATCTGGTGTAAACAGAACATATTACATGATTAAATACGTATAGATAATGTAGCAACCAAACATATTCCTAATAAGTATGCCCAGCACTAATGCACACACTCAAGAAAAAACTCTAAAGAAATCACATAGTGAGAAACTCAAGAATAGAATCTACTACTATGGCACTAGGCAAACCAAAACACAGAAGACGACTCAGGAAACCCAGTCGATTACAGAATCCAGAGTCACCAACCAAAAGTGCATACACACATTAAAAACATCCAATAATAGCATGAGCACATTGTGCAATTAGGCTAAGTTTATAAGAAAGAACAATTCACTTGAATTATTATTGTCTCTGACAGCCTGAGGTGCATTTGGATGCAGTCTGGCGATATGTGAGATGGACAGAGTGAGAGTACCCTGATGATATGTAGGTGATGCCACGTGGTGGTGGTTGGAGGCAGCGGCTTGGCAGATCAACTAGCATTTAGCAGAGCACTCCTTGGAAGTCTCTGAGGCTAAGAAGTGTCTAGAAAGGGTCTGAGTGTACAGTCACTAGATGAGCATACTTGAAGTCACTCAAGACTAGACAGAGTAATTTTGAATGATTTCCTTGCATCAGCATAACCCAACAGACATATTTGAAAATGTCTGATGTATGGGTGTGAAATGTTGACTTGACCTGACTACAAATAGCCATATCAATGGAAATGGCATGACCTTGCCCAAGGAAGCAACTAAATGGTACAGGTCAGGAAAAGTTTAAAAACAAATTAAACTACTGAGGAACAGTACAAGGATTAGAAAAAATACAAATATATAAGCACTCCTATTACAAGAAAAAATGTAAAATGTATTTGAACATACAGCATACAGTTTCTGACTCGTGAATAGACTTTTTGTATACAACCCTTCACCTATCAGGGATTAATCAAATCTTATGATAACAAAAACCTTACAGTAAAATAATATTTTTAAATAAATTAGGCGTGTTATCTATTTGTTCTCTCTCTACGTTGTTAAGAGCCCTTTGTGATCTGTTCAATCGTTTAGCACATGATTCGTAGTAACTACCACACTGCTGTGACAGGTCAACTTAGCCTGTAAAATATGACTTGATCTACGTTTTTCAAGGGGCTGAAAGTCCAGTGACCAAGCTCCTTGTATGCCTGTTTGAGGGGTGGCCATAACTTCTCTTACAGTACCCTGTACTTACTATTTTTCAACACTACTATTTACTTTCTAGAAAGTATATAAACAATAACATAAATACTTAGGAAGTTTGCATAAAACTTGCTAACAAATAAGAGAAAAGAAAAAAAGATTAAAAAGATATACGCAACAAAATATATTTACCCATCATTTTCAGCAGCAACAATAATCACCAGTGAGGGGTCCACTGGCACGCTGAAGTTACCCAAATGTGTACACTCATCCATGACCCCACGCATGAACTGCACTGCCTCCCACGTTAGGGTGTCTTTCACTCGCACATAGGGCTCAAATTTTACCGTCTTTGTGTTCACAGATTTCTTGGGTCTGATCCCTACAGGTGAGAGTTCATGAATTGGTGTAGATATTTTAGATTTGTTTTTTCTAGAACCAATAACCATATTGTTTGAGGTAACATCCTTATTTTGTGATGACTGATCCTTATTGATTTTTGACTTTGAAAAACCAAAACTTTGCAAAATGTTAAATCTCGGGAGAGAAAGGCTGATACCCAGTGGACCACCGCCTCCACTGGAAGCCACACTGTGAACTGTGTCTGTATAGTACTGAGACACTGTGTTTGTACTTGTACTCTGCATTTTGCTACTGTTTATTATTCTTGGAGTACTTTTTGTATCATGTTTTAAATTGCACTCATTTCTAATATTTTTGTCACTGCCAGTATCCCAAACATTGCCACTTCTCTGTTCTTGCCCCTGATCTTCCATCAGACGTTCCACATGGGACAAGCTGCCTGGGAAGTCCCGGGCAAATTTCAATCCCACTTCATGGTAAACTGGGAAATGCTGTAAGAAAAATTGAATAATAATAATGTTTCAATTCCATTTTTCTAATTATCCCATAATAAAACAGTCACCAGCCAAACATATACCAATTCCTAATTCTACCTAAAGATGACAACCAAAGCATGGTACATGAAGCTCTCAACAAAATACAGTATACTCAACTGGTATTGACATCTAGGTATTTTTTTGTAATTAATAATCAAGAACCAATAGAAAATGAACCTGAGCTAGACACGTTTCAATCAAACGTGGACATAGAGAATAGTATAACTGACCCAGCATATTTCAGGATACAGTGTGTTGTACTGAATATAGGGTAATATATTGAGCCCAAGAAGCATATCGACATTAGTTCTGTTAGTATAATAGGAGTTAGGGAGTATATTAAGTTCAGGCTAGTCTTTGGTGAAGGGGGTGATGTTAGTGGAATTGGAGAATTGACATTACTATTCTTATCTATATGTGACTATGTGAGAATGAGATCTAGCTCTTTATGCCCCAGTTAGCCACTTGAACCTGGTTCACATTTTACAATTCTAGACATTCGAGTGCTGTGCTGTAATTGTTCAAAAGTTGTGGAAGGAAATGCTTTCGACAATTTTTTTTTTTTTTTATACATTACTAGCTGACCACCCATAAAGGGTATAAAAATTTCCTTCCATTTCTATGACTTAATTGTATTTCCAGCTTCCTCTCACTTTAAAAAGACTGTCTTCGTTCACTGTGTTTATTCCTCTCAGTATACAGAACATTGTATTCAGTAATCATAGCCATTCTGTTTTTTCCCTCTTCTAGCATTGAGAGTTCAAGTTTCCTTAGTCTGTCCTCATAGCTTAGTCCTCTCAATTCTGGTACCAGTCTAGTCACAAACCTTTGCACTCTCTTTGTGTTTCATAAGGATCTAATTCCATTCCAGTGTTGAAAAATCCAGAAATGGATTCACATAGGTTGTGTATGACTTGAAAGAATCCTTATTTTGATTTATAAGTGTTGTTATTATATTTGTTAACTGCCCATATGCTGCTGACAATATCCTCTTTGCCTCAGGTGTTAGTGTTGAAATTATATCCACAACAAGTTTTATTTCCTCTTCATTCTAGTAGTTTCCTTCACCTTATGGTGCACAGTAATTTAGTTTCTACCGCCCCTTCTCAACATGACTAGGTTGAATTCCAATAGCCATTTGTCTGTTCTCTCTCTCTCTCTCTTTTGAAGTTTGCCAATGTCTTCTTGCAACACTCTACACTCCTCTCCAGTTCTCATCCTCATTACCTGTGTCACTTCCTAACACTGATCTGTAAGGGCTCACACTCTCATTAGTCCATTTTTAGAGGCAAGGAATAGCAGCAGTTCTTGGACAGAGCCCAGTGGTATTATACTTCCAACTTGACACATCCTCTTTGACTATGGCCCTGTGTTTTGTATCCATTTAGTACTCTCTTACCCAGTTATCCCTGATTTTTTCTGTTTTGCACATCACTTGTGAGGAACATTAGTCATAATAAATATCATTATGTAACACTAAGAAAAAACATAATTTTTTTATAAAGAATTTAGCAAGTTAAGATTCTGAAATATTGACCAGAGGCTGACATGATTTTCAACCACTGCAATAAAAAAACAAATCCAACTTAAAATTAGGATTATTTTGATAAGCATGTACATATTAAATGGAATGATTCTAGAACATATATTGTGTAAAATTTAAATTAAACTGTTTAAAAATTCTTGCAATATTTTACAGAAAACATACTTGTCTCAATTTCATAAATTCTTAAGGTATCAATTGCAACCAAGAGTAGTGGGAGTATCCTTCAGTTTTAATGCGAATATGTAAACATTTTGGCATAGCTGCACTTATTTATTTTTAGATTTCCCCAGATCTCTTCCACAAATTTTGAAACTAATATGCAAAGATATTCTCCAGATATTAAACAGCACCATAATTTTTTTTTTGGGGGGGAGGGGAACCTTAAGTGATTTGTGATATCTACTTAATAATAATACACTATATGTATGAAAGCCTCTATGAGTGTCATCTGTTCATAGTCAATAATAATACACTTGTTCAAACCATTTATCTTGCCCTTCCTCCAGCCTAACCTTACAATATATGAAACCCCTAATTTCACTAACTTACCCCTTCTGGTGACTGAATCATATTAAACAGCTCCTCTCTGAATACTTCATTGGAAAAATACTGGTTTTTGAGCATCTCCCAGTTGATAGATCCACTGAGCACACCCTATAGGTAAAAATAACGTAATTAGCCAATTTGAAAAGCATCTATCTGAATAAGAGTCAATTACCAGGGGTGAGGCCGAACCCCTGGTAGTTGAGCTTGCATGGGGTTCAAGAGGACATGAAATGTAACAAGTGTGCCCCAAGACAAGGGCACACCTTTAAGCATTACATCTTCTATTGTGAAAATTTTGTAATTTTAAGATAGAGCTAATATTAGTTGCATGAAATGGGAAATAACTATTGTTAATGTTGAAATATCTTGCATTCCTGCACAATAATAATGAGAAGGCCTGGTCGATGACCAGGCCGCGGGGATGCTAAGCCCTGGAAACACCTCAAGGTAACTGATCCACATTTTTCTCCTATAGATAAATTAAAATGTAATGAAAGTATAATCTGTGTAAATTATAGCCGTAAACAGCGACACTACTATTACCCTATAATATCCAATATTGAAAATTAGGTTAAGTACTGTATTACCTAAATAACTTATTCCCAAAGTGCACTGCCATATTATCATACACAGTAGTTGTAGTGTAAGTAGTGTTCTGTTACTGGTTATACAGTAATTAAATATAAAGGGGTATACATTCATTGTAAACACTAATGTCAAATAACATCCACTAGGATCCACTAGGATAGGGGAAGGCCTGACAGTGGAGTGGACAGTGCTTTGGATTCGTAGTCCAGAGGTTCCAGGTTCGATCCCTGGTGGAGGTGGAAACAAATGGGCAGAGTTTCTTTCACCCTGATGCACTGTTCACCTAGTAGTAAATAGGTACCTGGGAGTTAGACAGCTGCTATGGGCTGCTTCCTGGGGGTGTGTAACAAAAAGGAGGCCTGATCGAGGACTGGGCTGCAGGGAGGAAATCATCTCAAGATAACCTCAAGAAGGATCTGATTAAGATCTTCTGTTTCCTCTGTAATCCTTTTGTGCCACCACTCACAGAATGGGCAAGGGGTGCACATTAAGAAATCAGGCAGGATGACAGTCAAGCACGGTCATTTCTCCAACTTTAAGATACAGTGGCAGGCAGCTCAGGAGCTGCATGGGGATGATCTATTCAGCAATGATGCAACCAATCTCAAACTCTGTTAAACCTGAATTTATCTGAGGGGGTCATTATTTTAGTGGCCCGAGACTTTTTTCAGTGGATTTTGAACAGGAGTAACTTTTTGGCATTTACAGCTTCACTGGGTACAAAATTACAGATGTTTATTACCCTATGGTTAAAAAAAACAGCTCCTGTTGTCAATTTTGCATTGTGCCTGTTGAGTTTAAAGCTGTTACACTTTGTGAGTTACATTGGAACTTTTAAAGAAATGCTTTTCACCCTATGGGTGACAAAGCATCCCATTTCTGTCTTATGGCTTGTTGAGTTTGAAGCTGTTCCTTGCAGGCATTACATATGAACTTTCAAAGTGATCTGGATTAATATTTTTCCAACTTATTTAATATTTTAAAGATCTTGAAGTCGGTCCTTTCATGTTTGGTTTGCAGTGGTGTTAGTTCTGGTATCATTTGGTTCTGGGGTGATTTTTGTTACTCTGTGTTAAACCTTCTCCAAAGCAAATATGTCCTTTTGAAGGTGAGGTTTCTATGCTTAGCTACATTATGGGGTTGCACCAGAACACCAGAGGTTTGTACAGTTGAATAGCCACTTAATTTTCCTTGAAATCAAAGGCTCATTTGACTGTTCCTAAGGTTTATTTTTATTTTTTTACTGCAGCTTTCACTTGTGTAACTTTCAATGACTAGTGCATAATAACTCCTAAGGATGTGAGTTGGTATGAGTGGCTGCACTTTATGATCAGGTAAGGTGGTATAACTTAGCAGGATCTTTTGATAGCTGTTAGGTGTCCAGAGTTCCCACTGGCAGTCATGAGAGCAACATCACTGGAAATCTATTATACTTGCTTGTGAACAGATTTGAGAACTTCTTGTTTAATTTGATTGGACAGATTCTGTTTCCAGTGCTCCAAAGTACATTATATAGCCCAGCAGGGACATGATATCTCACACAGTATTTGGCACCAGCCCTGGTGACCATATGCCAAGCTTGCCTGATTCTAACCATGAGCCTTCTAGTTGCTCAAGCAGCAAAATGATTAGCTTAAAAAATGTCAAACTTTAAAATTTCTTTTGATAATGATAAATCTAATTATTTGTCTACAAAATACATCTACGTTTCTGACAATGCATGCAAAATTTATCATACTAAGAATGTTAAATATCATACACAGAGTTTTTAAAAATAGAACATTACATGTTAGCTAAAATGGAACATTACATGTCGACTAAAATGCAACATTACATGTTGACTTATATTTTACATTAGTGCTGGCAATATTATATGATAAACAAGATCCACCAGCAAAAAATGTACCTGAGTGAAGCACTGGGATGCGGTGGTCCACGACAGACACGGGACGACTGCAAGAGGCTTATGCCAACTGGTTGCAGCTGCTGAAGCCATCTGAAGATACCACTGGTCTAGTTACTTATAATGAACAAAACTTCAACTATCTTACCGTTCATCATAGGTGCAGAAGGGGTTAAAAAAGAAACATGACTGCAACACATCCATAAAATCTCAGCTTTCTAAGAATTAGTAAAATTCCCCATACAAAGCCAGGAAAAATCAAACATAGATGAGGCAATGTTACACATGCATAACATCACAAAAACATTTTACATACATATAACTCTTGACTCATTATTACATGAATGACAATAATCTGTTGTCACAAGTACACTGATTACAAAATAAACTGGCTATGAAAGACCGGGAGAAATGTGATCTCTTTCCATATCTTTACCCAAGATAATAGCAACATGACAAACAGCAATTGAGAAAAAATTATGCTCCTGGCTCATCGTACAAAATGCCTTCGAGTGATTTTGTGATATCATTGCCTCACCAGTTTCAACGTGGCCTTACGGGTACAACTGACCTGAGTGAACACTCCTGATGCTGTGCTCCAAGACAAGCAAGGCACCAACGGCAGAGGTTTAGGCCAATTGGTTGCTGCTAAAGATGCCATCTGCGAGGAGCATGTTTATTACTAATTTACAATCTCTAAATCCTGCACAAAAATTTGTTACATCAAATTAATAATCCAATAAATTTAGAAGATATTAAAATGATGTTTAGGAATCTGAAAATTCCAGCATCAGGAATGCATTTGCATAAATACAATAAGTTAATGGAAAATAGAATAACTGAATTGTCACAAGACTACAGTAATGAAGGTGTTTTTACATGTACAGTATTACAGCAACTAAAATGATCCTGAAACAAATATGGTAAAATCTCTATGAAAGTATTGGTACCCTATTTCCATAAATATAAGCCACCCCATTTTTTCTGAAAAACAAATGGCAAAAGTAGGTGTGTGTGTGTCTTTAAAAAGAATGACAAACTTTAAGGAACTTCTTTTTTTGCGAGAGGTTACCCATCACTATGTCAGCTCCTAATGGTCATCGCAGCTATTACCCCCCTCACAGGTTACCATTACAGTGCTACTGTTACCCCATATCCTATGCTAAGTCACCACCACCACCAAGACAGTCATCCTTTTGCAAACACATAAAGCAAGGTTGCCAAAGGTATTTCTTCATTCGACATGAATAAGGTCTATTTTCATTATACCTGTATTATTATTATTATTATTATTATTTTTTGTATACAAAATTAAGGTGAAGGCATGATTCACCTCTTGCCAGAGTTTCATAAATAAATTTTTTTAAACAATGCAATAAAAACAAAATATTACAATTACACACTGAAAAATATTAGCAAACACTTTGTAATTGTTAAAAATGTATTATCCACCTTGCTAAGCTCTTTAGATATTTTAATATACTGTATCATCAAACACTATGAAAGTTTGAAATTCATCCAAGAGTTTTATTTTCCAACCTAACGATATATTACAGGCCAGTCATAATACAACGATAACTGAAGCCTTTGAATAGGGTAGTGCAGGCATTACTCATGGGCCATGAATTTCACTTTTTCAATGTGATTTTGGATGCTTGTTTGATACGGAAAATTTGATGCTTGTGATGACTCAAAAGAAATGTGTATCCTAAGAAAAGCAAAAGTTCCAGATGGCAAATTTATAAGGAAATTTAGTTACCAATAAAATATATCTTTTTATGTTGGCTAGTAATATACAACCTGTCCTCTCAAAATAACGTCGCTTTTTGCTCATATGTGCGCTATGGCCAAAAACTGATGTAAATTGAAATGAAATCGGCTTACGAAAGTGATGTACTGTCTCGTTTTCTGTTCGAGTTCTACAGCTTAGTCTGTTAGGTTAGGAGAGGACATTTTCAATTAATGTTTTCATGACGTTTTGAAACTTTAGTTGAATTTCCTGCCTTCCTAACCTACCAGAGGACCCTTAACTTACTGCTTTGGAAAAAAAAAATCCGAAATGTATTTTCAATTTTTTTCATTTTCAAATTGCGTCAGTTTTCAGCCATACGGGCAAACGGCCAAATTCAGACATAATTTGTATGAGGACAGGCTGAATATACACATCTAGAGTTAACCCTCAGGCTCCAGCTCTTAAGATGCAGTTTTTTCTTGGTGTCTGAGGACTTAAGGTATAGTAACACTGTACTACATTTTGCCATGTGGTGGACAAGACATAGCAGTCAGGTTTTCAAGTGTTACCTCTGCCATCAATAGATGGCTCCCAAGCTCGAATTAGCCACTGAAACAAAATTGGAAATGAACGTAACTATTGTAAGTATGACATGACTATGCACACTTCTTACAACCATTGTTAAGAAAATATTTGCTATCAAATGTTAGAAATATCATATTAAATTTCTTTCCTTTTTTCAGGCAACCATACCGTCCTTAAACTCTAAATGATAATGATAAGACACCTAGAGATATGGGAAAAAAAAACTACATAACCAAACACTACTGACATGACCAAAGTACAGTACTAGAGTTATAGTCAGCACACCTAAGTATGTACAGCTCAGTATGCATGCTACCAAAGTAGGCCAACATGTTAATTTACAAATTAACATCAGATCTTAATACTCGAGTGGTTTCCAAGTAATAAACCACCAAACACGGGGGGTGATTGTTGCCAGTATTAGTTTAAGACACAGGGTCAGCCACTGGCTGGGGAAGAGAGTCTATCACCGAGAGCCGGCTACCAGGCACGCATCATAATTCCAGCCTGCAATGTATTTTGGTTAATGTTTACAATTACTAATTCAGACCTTGAAAACCTTAAATCCTGGGTAAATCAGTCAAAATAATTCTACAACTCGGCAATTTCTAAGTTATAAAACTTAGCTATCACGTTACTAGACGATTCAAGGCAGTCTTTGTTTACAAATAAAAATCACATTAAAATATCGCTTTAATAATTTTTTTTATAAAACTATATAAAATATTACAACAAAATTTTTATTTTTAGAAATGCTGTACAAATACCTGTGCAGTATTGCATTGTAAAGTACAATACACTACAGTATTCCAATCTAAGGGTGACCATGACAGTTTTGACTCCACCAAGGAAAGTTAAAATTACTGTAAGTTAAATTTATTTAATTCTATGAAGATGCTGTCAAAACAGTGCAATTTTGTTATCAATACACAGTAAATTCAATTAGTTGCAGTAAAAAAATAATATTGTCCACTGTAAGAACTTTATATAACCTTGATCTCAGCGTAATTTTGATAAGGGGTTTGCCACATGCGATTCAAATTAGCGAGCAATCTCTCTACATCACAGGTACCCAAACTGGGGGAACATGGCCCTCTGGGAGCCTTTTTTGCAATATGTAGGGGGCCATAAGTTGAGGTAGTGTACAGGTTAAGATATCAGACAGTAAGGGAAAAATAACCAGCTAGTGGAGTGTTGCTAAACAAAATTTAATACATGTACTGGGTGTTGGGGGGGGGGGGCATTAATATGGACACTTTATGAAAAATGGGTAGTAACCATAATGAGTTTGGGAACCACTGCTCTACATTATGGTGTCAACATTTCTTGTAAATGATACCATAGATTTTCACTATTAAGGTAATATTTATATTTGTTATTCCACTTCGAATGGAAAACTCATTAAATGGCCGTAAGTAGCAACCATGACCTAAGGATTAAGAGCAATTCTGAAGGTGAATTTAATTTTCATGTGGAACTTTTAAGTGATGGCTTACCTTCTAATCAGAATTGAAGTCCAAGATTTTCTATATGAAATATGTTTAAAGCTTAATCAATGGCTTAGAATTGCAGGGGTAGTGGCTTATATTCATACAAATATGGTAAAGGTACAGAATAGTTTTTGTTGCGGGCAATGAGTCACAATAACATGGTTAAAGTATGTTGACCAGACCACACACTAGAAGGTGAAGGGACGACTACGAATCATTAGACTTGAGAATGGTCCAGGACGGACCGAAACGTAGTCGTCCCTTCACCTTCTAGTGTGTGATCTGGTCAACACAGTTTTTGTTGGTTCATATCGATCCATTTCAGTGGGACTTCATTGGACTGTAGAGAGTTGAATACACTGCTGGAAAGCTGATACAACAATAAATGAGTGAAAGCCTTTCAGAGAGAATACATGTGAATATGGATTTGAAAAAATGTGCAAAAATACTTTTGTAAACCATTTTTTTTAAATATACAGTACAGTATTTATTGTTTAAATCATACACTTCCATGCTAATCTTTTCTTTTTTACCTCCTCCTGAGATTTGCATTTGCTATCTCCAGCCAACCAATTCTCTTAAATAATATGTTGCATTTTGATGCTATAATCCTCAAGAGACAAAATAAGGGATACAGTATTATGAAAAGTAACAGCTCATAAACAACCACATTTTCTTTATGTTGTTTATGTTAGGTCATGTCGGTATCTTGGTTTTGCATATTTTACTAGCCCTTATTTTGTCCATTGTGGCAACTCAAGAAGATGGACTGCTTCATCAAGGTACCAAATTCACTGGATATCACCTTCATCTCCAATATATTTTTAAATCTATTCCAACTTGCCTTCTTCAAACATTAAGATGCAGAATATTATATCAGGAGAATCTTAAAGACTTACATGACCACCCATGGATATTCCAGTAATTCCAAGTGGTCCAAAGCCCATTCGTTCAAGCCAGTGGAATATGGCCAGGGACTCCAAAATTAGGCAGCCACCCATCACAAATAAGTCAGAAACGTTGTGGAGGCTTGAACGGCTGTAAGGTAATTGATGTGGTTATCCTACATAACTATTACCACAATGATGCACTGCATTTTACAGAAATGTAGATTACATATAATTTGCATGAAACAGACTATGTAACAATTACTTAATTTTCAATATTTGAACAATTTAATTCCAGGACTTCCATTATGTAAATTATAAGTGTCCCCTCCAGCAAATCGGCATCTTAGTGTATACTTTAATGAAAGCTTAAACAAGAATTATGGACCTATTTTAACTTTTCTTATAACCATGCCAAATTCACATCAAGATTATTTCTCATAATAATTATCTTACTTGCAAATTATCCTTATCTTTTGCCATCTCTTCAATAACTAGCTATTGTCATCATCACTATTACAACAGAATGATCACGTGTAGTGGAGAAAGAGAAATGAAGTGGGTACATTTTTCTGAGCAGTATACTTGGTTGTTCCCTAAAGCAATTTCCTACTGACCACTGATTAGGATCTGGTACAGTAAAGGCAGTTCAACATTCCTCACCAATGCATCAGGGAATTTTTCTGAATGCCCTTAATGTAGGCAGTAAAATACATTACATAAATTCAAGTCTTGCCAGATGCAACTTAGCATATAAGTGGGCCACAAACTGCTTCTAGCTAACTAATAAACAGAAAACTAAGTTGTTACTCCAAATATCATTATATGGTAGCATCATCATCAAAACAAAGACCACCAGCCAAATTCCACATGAACCCCTGATTAAGAATTTTTTTTTCACCTAGCATATGATTTTTTATCAATTGGTCTATATCAATCATGATAGACATATACTCCAGTGACTATCTGGAGAAGATCTTACCTTAGGAAGCAACCAAATGTGATAGCTCAGAAAGGCTTCTATAACAACCTTCCACATTTTACAACATTCATCTAACCATACCATTTTACTTTCTTTAAATAACTTAGGAGTTATTAGCTTAATGAATATTGTATATATACACAAGACATGTTGAAAATAACGAAGGATTTTCTGAGAAATGAACACAAAGAAACCAAAGGTATACCAATAATATTTAGAATAACACTATGAGGAATTGGAAGAATGACATAAATTATAACATGCAATAAACTGAAATCTGAAGAACTAGCACAATTTAACTGTAGTCTGGATATGTCATGGACCCAATGATCAAATTTCATAAGTACTTTAGAGAGGTACTTGTGTATAACATGTACATAAGTAAACAAATCCACAAGGACCGTGATGAGGGTTCGAACTTACGCCCAGGATGATCTCAGACGCTGCCTTAGTCAACTCCGCCATGACATGGTAAAGGAATTGCAAAAGAATAAGTTCGAACCCTCATCACAGCCCTTCTGGATTTGTTCATTTGATATATCATGCTATTGTGATTTGTGTGTGTATAAGTACATAAGTACATGTATCAATACAACAAAAATTTTAGTAGCAATAAAAATTCCAACAAAGTCAAACAAAATATATTTTTTTATATTAAAATTCAGAGAATGACTTAATATAATATGCAAATTTAACTTAAAAGTAATGAAATTATGAAAGACAGGAAAGCAGAAGGCACCGAGGATTACAGTGCTCGGGAAAACATTGATGACACCACATAATATTTAAATATATAACTTATGATAAAATCAAGCATAAACAAAAGATGAAAACTAGGAAAGTAGCAAGTTGAAAATTTACAGTTGGTCCTTAGGTTTCCGACAACCGTAAAATGGGTTCTCGAGGATGGCCGATGCTATTCCTGAGTCATCAAGGAGTGGTTTACCCATAAGCATTTTCCTCCTCCAAAACCCCTGGAAAAAAAAATATTACTTTAAAAGATTTGAGCCAGTGTATGGAACATTATAAAATAAAGGGCTGCATGTCTAAATACTTTTCATTAAAATTAGTGTAGGGATTGAAATACCCTATGTAAAATTAATAATAACAATTTAATACAGAATCAATATCATACTACTATACTGATTAGTTTTATGGAAGAAGCTATTTTGATCCAAGATATCAGTACTAAAGAGAAGACCATGTTTCTGAGCGTTGGCCACACAGTTGTTCTCTTAGCCAATAGACTCTTAGTTGTTCTCCTGCTCCCTATTGAATATTATGAACTCTAGCATGCAACTCACCCTCTCACCTAATACATCACATATATGGAATCGAACCATCCACCAAAAATGAGACTTATTAGTAAAACCTGACGACCATAATATTGACATTATCTCTGCATCGCCTTGGGTTAGAATCTTTCTGGGTAGGCAAAACAGTTGCCTTTTTTTTAGTGGCAAATCAAAAGAACTGGCTGCAGAGTGAACCAGTGACTTCACATCTCCTGACACAGCTGAGATCTTTTATAAATGCCCTGCTAGCCCATAACAGGAGGAAGAGAGACACTGATGGTGTCTAAATGCAGTCCTGTATAACCATCTCTTGTGTAACAGTGAGGTAGAATTGCCACTAATTTCCCAAATTTCCTTGACAGGACCATTTGCAAAAATACCTGTCATCCTGTCATTCTGAGGAACAGGTTATCGAGAGTCTAGTAGGTGTATAAGTCTTAGATGGACCATAATGTCTCTGAATTATGAGGAGCAACTGAGCAACTGAGGAGCCTTAACTCTGTACTGTATTTGTCAAATGATACAGTATTTAAAAATATAGACATAAGAATAGCAAAACACTGAAAGCAATTATAAGCAGCTAGAAATTAAGATGCAGAGTCAGTCTGGATTTCAATAATGTGTTCAGTATTATGGTTCTGTGTTCTGGAATTTTGTAAACTATTCCTGAATCAAAATCATAAGAATTTTAACCCTAAATATTCAGTTATTGTCATATGGTGATTCCTGGGGACAATGCAGTTCTTGTTATTTGCCTTTTTGGGGGGGCCCAGTTTTTATACAAATAATGTAAATATGGTAATACAATATGGATGTAATGGAGTTAACCATGAGCCATGAAAAAAATTCTATTGTTTTTAACTGCTTACTACGTGATGAGGTTATCATGTACTAGTGGCCTATGATTAGTGTCAAATCCCAATTTGGTCTTTCCTGCCAGTGTTTGAATCTATTTCTTGATGAAAATTCAAGATCAATGACACTGATGAATACACATAAGGAAATGGTAAGCCTTCCACACAAAAATTATGGACATAGTGCATTCAATCCTTCATAAAGCAAGAGAAAGAGTTTGTAAAAATATAAAACAGCTGGCTGCTTACATGGTCTCCAGTGCCTGCCAAATGCAGGCAGGTGGGCTTCAGGTGGGTGCGCCATACTTTAGGGAACACTAGCTGAAAGGTGGCTTTCTCTGATTCTTTAGGCAGTAGACCTGGTAGGTGATCCACAAATGGTGAGATAAATTCAGCTTCCCAAACTATATGGTCCCCACTTGTAACTTCCTGTTGGAAAACATAACAGTTTTAAAATTATAGATTTTAATTAAGCTTAAGTATTAATTAGTAGCTGAGCAGTACACTGCTCAACCTAAGTATTACAGCTTGTACTACCAACAGAAAACATTAAGACAGGGTCCTGCTTTAGTTGATATACCAGAGAAAATGTAGTATAAAAAGCAAAATTAGAAAAATTGGAGTGATAAGACAAGGCAGCTAGGTTACAAAATGTAGCAGAGAAATAGAGGGAGGGAATTTTAAAATTATATGATTATAGTAAATACTGAGTGAAAGTAAATAAATTTAAGAAATAGAGGGAACAAGGAGTGAGCCCAAGACAGACATATGGGTAAGGATAATGTTGGAAAGAGAAATGCATGAACAAGAACAAGGACAAGAAAGTGAAAAAGAAACTAAATCTTTCCATTCTTCTGAACACCTGGAAGGTGTTTTACTACCTTGTTTATTATCCACTATCCAACAAAGAGGATAGTGGGAGACAGCTTTTTACATATAACTAAACCAATGCAAAAATAACACTACAAAATATAATACACATACTTATTCATTACCTGTACACAATTTTGAGATGTCTCCTACTGTCACAGCCTAGGCAAAGGCCAGGCTTCAACAGTGACTATCAGCTGGGAGTATTATGACTGCATCCCACAAGCACACACCATCAGACACAGCTTGTGAGACTCATGACATTTTAACCCTTAGACCGCACATATCACCGCACATATTGGGATAATAATATGCGGATAATATGCTAAAATAATTTGGTCCTCTTATGTTAATACTGTACAGTACTGTACTGTACAGTACTAGGCTCTCCAATGATGTTTGTCGAGTACAATTTTTTAGACTACATTTACTTTGCATCAACAATCATATTTCCTGCTCAGGTTAATCATTATTTTTTAATACAAATTAAGGATATAACCAAATAAGAATGACCATTCTCAGCAAAGGATGCTGAGAACGTTCCACATTGCCTACATTTAAAGACTTACATGTGTGTGGAGAAAGAAATTTTTTTTTATATTAAATGAATAAAGAATTAACGAACAGACGAGTGGGAAGAGCACATTTGAATGTATGGTGTGTTAACAACAATCACTGATTACGGCACCTGGTCTGAACAATTTGAGACTGGAAAGGGATGATCATTTGAATTTTATCAATATCGAGCATCACAGATTACAGAATAAAAACAAAAACTGAACAAGGAACAAAGCATTTGGAGGAAGTGGACTGGAAGAGAAATCTGACTCATCAGGTTGAAGCCCATACAGCTTTGTAATGAACATTGTTGATGGATTATAACAAGAACTTTCCTAAATAGAATTTTAGGATTTCATTTAAAGACAGACATTGGTTTTGTATTAAGTACAATAGTTTAGGGCAACGAGAATAGGACTTTTGACAATAATGCTAATTTAAGCCTGTACATCTCCTTAATCCATAAAACGTAAGAGCAGCCTCACCTTTGTTATAGTAACTGGATAATTCTTGTCTACAAGCTGTTGACATTTTTCACGATTAGAAATGATCTTCCGGAAAGCGAAAAGTCTGCGAAGATTTTCTGGTTTGCCCCAGCCACGCACAAAAAATTTTGTTAGGAGAATGCTACGATAGATCTGATCCACCCGGCTCACCATATCCAATGCGCTCACTCCACCATATACCTACAATCTGGTAAACACAGGCACAATGTTTTCAGCATATAATTAGACAAGCTGGGCTATTGCTAGTATTTTGCTGCAAATTGCTTTAATAATAAATATTACAGAATACTGTATCTAGAACTACAGTACAGTACTGTACTTGCCAGCATAAAAGACACGCCCCTATTTTACAAGGATATTTTGTGGAAAAAAACTATTTTAGTATGTTTCATCATACACTTATTGAAAGATATTTTAAAGTGGTTTTTGTACCCAAACTCTTACCACCTTTAAGATCAGCTGTATAGTTGTTTATATTTTGAGCAAGAGAATTGTTATATAGGACATGAAACTTGTATTTTTGGATGTGATGTTTGGTGTTGCCGCATCAGGCCACCAGGGCGGCGCACCTGGTGGTGACGCACCATCGCAGCACCCTGATTTTGTTGTCATTCACTCATTGCAAAAGGCTGACAGGCAGATGAAAGTTTAACATTACTTTCAAATTTCATTTTACATTTAGATAATGTTTCTTAAAGGTAACATAATTGTTAAATAATGTATGAAATATATCAGGTGTGGGTTATGTATGCTGGGTATGGTGGCGAGATGATGTGAGCTTCCCTCATAACTGCCAATGTATCGTAAGCAATTTTTCGTAACAGACTGTGATAACTCGGCTTGTTTTCAATATTTTATTATTAGTAACAAAATTTACTTTAATACTTGGCTTCTTTTCAATATGTATTTTATTATTAGCAACACTTTCTGTGCCTAGTGAACTTACCCAGTACAGTATTCTCATCCGGCTTCATAGCCTACGGCGTTTGGTCTCACATCCATAATACAGCCGCATTAGATGCAAGGCAATTTTTTTATACATTTAAAAATAAATAAAGGACATCTTATATACCGGCAAATACGGCATATGAATTATCCTTATCCAAAGGAAATGCCTTCTGAGGTGTAGATGTAAGTGATAATATACAATATTTAAATGCTGTCCCTCTTTAAGTAACTATGTATGGGTAGGCTTCTTTCAAAATTTAAATAAAAAATAAAAATTACTTTTAGGTTAAATACAGGCTGTAATGTGACCCAGTTACACAATACAGTACATGTAGTTTATAACTGTATATAACTCTTATTTACCTAAATTTATCCAAGAGTCACTTTCTCTCTAGAGACCTCGACGAGGACAGAAAGCCAGGGGCTTGTCAAAGGTCCCCCAATTTGTCCTAATGATTTCATCTATTTGGATCTTACTTCCCAGCAATGTTTTAGCATTCACAGCTTCGATGAGTAAGCAGTTCCATGGGTTTATAACCCTAAGGGTGAAAAAGCATTTCTTGTTTTCTGTCCTACATTGAGGCTTGTTGAGCTTGAAACTGTTGTTCCTTGCTCGTGTTTCATCTAAACCTATGAAGAAGTGGTCTGGATCAATGTCCTCCAAGTTGTTTAATGTTTTAAGAATTTTGATGAGATCAGCCCTGTCATGTCTGGTTTGCACTATTGTTAGCCCTATGGCCCTCGACTATTCCTGGTATGTGAGTCGAATTAGTTCAGGAATGATTTTTGTTGCCCAGTGTTGAACTTTCTCCAAAGCAGATATCTATGTCTTTCTGAAGATGAAGTCTCCACACTTGGATAACAAATCCAAGTAGGGATCCACTAGAGATTTATATAATTGAATAACTACCTTTTTTTCCCCTTAAATCAAAGTTATGTCTGACTATTCCTAGGATTTGGAAGACTTCTTATTTTACTGCAGCTCCCACTTGTTGTAAAACTTTCAGTGATTTGTGGATTCCGACTTCAAGGTCCTTTTTCTTCATCAATCTTTTTGTAAGAGAATGCTGCTGATTTGGTAGTTGTAATGTGTGCTGTTATGCTCCACATATAAGGTCTTGCATTTTTTTATATTAAAAAGCATCTGCTAATCTTCCAATCACTTGTGGATTCCCAATTATTTAGCCTAATTGTTTATTTATCCTCAGCCAATCAAGAACATTTACATGCCATTTCATCTAAGCTTTCCAGTTTGAATATTATACCAAACAATTCTTTATCCTACAGTCATTGTGTCAGACTAAACCTGAACCCTATGCATGTTAGTGGCTTTGCAAGAATGTCCCACTTAATCACCAACACAAATACCTGTATATATATTACATATAATATTCACACCCCATTGTACATTCTTGTATATATCAAAATGAATATTTAAATAAAGCAGTTCTAATGTTGTACTGTTCCTAACCCAAAATTGTTATCAGCAACACAGAAGAGTAACACGATTGTGACTTGTAACTAACATTATGGACAGGACTAAACAAAAAATTTAACATTATCATGATCAGCCATGAAGTAACATTATCCTGACCCGTAACAGAATATTATTATCTTGACAAACAACAAAGCAACTGGAGAATAAGTAATAAGAAAAAATACACCTGTCAGTATATAGTGCCTAGTAAGTGACATAAGTAATATAGCTGTGACAACCTAGTTTAATTTAGTTCATTCATTATGCACCCCATACCCATTTTGTGGGCGGTAGTGGAAAGGGTTGTAGCACATAATGGGCTCAGGGACTGAACCCCACAATTCATTTAACTATGCAAGTTACAATCTTGATGAGCTAGTTACAAAATTCAATGCACATCGTCACATCATCAATGGACTCGACCAACAGATCATTATTGAATAGTCCAACTCAAACAGATAATGTCCGCAATCTTAATGTGGTTAATTTGTCAACTTGCATCTTAAGATTTAAGCACAACACTTGTATAAGCACTTACCAATAAGCCCTTTACACGCTAGGCTGTGAGAATGTAGCTATTACACTTCATACAACTAAATATTACCCAAAATAGAGACGCCGGTGAGAACCTTTCTAGATGTGTTTACTTCAGACACTCCTGGCTTAAAATAATTTGTGGTACCTCAAGAGCATAATAATATCTTACAAAAATATATCAAATTATGAATATATATTATGTTTTGTTTGTTGTATTTAATGTGATATAAGGCATACAAATTAATTAGCTATATGTAAAGAACTTTGAACAAATAAGATCTATATTTGAGCATGTGATGTCTGGATGGTAGAGCCTGGGGGGCAGCAACGTTCAGATTGTCACGTACACTGATATAATTCCCGTCCCCCTGTTGTCGGGGGACAGGAATCCTGTACTTAAGATTATCGAAGTTCCCCTTAAGTCAGGCCCAGAGACACTTCAAGATGTTACACACTCAAAGGGCACATGCACTCCAAACATCTCACATCTACAGGGCTATTCATGCCCGTACCACATTTGCCCGAAACGCTATGCGTATTTGTGGCTTTAGGTATTGTACGTACTAGCTCTATCTATAAATCCAACATTATGTTTGTAAAACAACTATGTATGTACTTCCCTGAATAAAATTTACTTTACTTTACATCTTGTGGTAGCTTATCAATCTAATTTTGTCCTACCACTTGAGTTGGAAAGTAGAGTGACGGTCTCGCTTCATGCAGGTCGGCGTTCAATCCCCGACCATCCAATTGGTTGGGCACCATCTCTTCCCTCCCCCCCCCCCCCAAATCCCAAATCCTTTTGAGTTTCAAAATCTAGCTCGGCAAAATCATCAGGACAAATGGGAGGACATTAGTCAAGCCGCCAGCTTCCTGACCTCGTCGAGGCCATTAGTGATAGTGTCCCTCAGGTAAATTCAGGTAAATTATGGGGGCCAACCCTGGTGTAATATAATTAATCATTATTACTCTTCCATTTGCTAGGTCATGAAGGAAGCCGGCCTCGGGTGAAAGGGGGGCTGTGACGATCTATGTCTGGAACCTGAAGGTGCGGGAATCTGAAGTTTACCTCCTGGGGCTCGTGCTGCCCAAGCTCTGCTTCACGAGGCTGGGGTCGTTCCTGCCCTTGCTATGGTCGTTTTTCTCCGGCCACAACCACGTCGGTCTCGGGGTTTGGAGTCCCTGTGCCTTCATTTACCAACCTCGAGGTAAACTCCGGAGCTGGAACCCCTAGGGCAGATCTTGTTGCCTTCAGCCTCGTTCTGACAGTTCCTGCCATCCAATCATATTAGCGTTTGCCTTTCCATTGGACACGTTTGACACCGTGGAGAGGTGGGGCCTGCTGCATGCGTGACAGCTCCTTCCCTCTTATCAACCTACCCTGGCTTTGCGCCCTGGAGAGGTCACTCCAGACGACAACCTGAGCGCAACTATAGTCTCCTGAGACTGATGGATGCTTACTACTAAATTCAAATTCAAATTCAAAATTCAAATGTTTATTTAGGTAAAGTACATACAAACAAGAGGTGATACAAATATTTATGAATTTATAGAGTTAATACATACAATGCCTAAAGTCACTGTTACGCAAAGCGTTTCGGGCAGGAAAAAGACTAAAGACCTTAATAAAGACCTAAAGACTTAATACTAATTGAGATTAAAGTATAAAATGTGTTGAGAAAATATAAAAATAAAACAGGGGGGAACATGACAGAAAAACAGCAAAAATACAATTTGGGTGACAAACAGCATTGTTTAAAAATAACAGACATGGGTTGACATTATAAGGGTAAGGTAGGTTACAGGGAGTTAATTAGGTAGTGTTTAGTTTTTATCTTAAACTGGTTGAGAGAGGTACAGTCTTTAACATGATTGGGAAGGTCATTCCACATTCTGGGAATTTCCACTGGAGTGGAATTTCCATTCCACTACTACTACTCTGCCAAGTTTAATGAGGCTAGGCTCATTAAACGTCTGACCTTTAACATTATACAGACAAACAAACAGGAAGATAAAGAAATATACATTCTCTGATATAAATCGAGGCAAGATATAGCCGCGTGTTAATTATTCCATTCAGGTACATAACCGGTATAGACTCAATATAGCGCTTAACCTAAATGACCGAGTGGTGCGCATTTATCCAGTGCGCCACGTATATATGTATATATAATGTATTTAAACATATACTGTGTTTGTATGTTTATTGCCTCATTCCGTCATACATGACCTATTTTTCAACATAACCTTGTGAAGTAATTGTATTATTGGAACCAACCCAATTATCTACAACTGACATCCAACGCGTTCTTTTAAGTAAATCTTTACGTCTAGTGTATTGAAAATTAAGTTTATTTTACCCCTCATAATATATTCACGATATGTAAATATAAATGTTATATCCAAAACTAAATTTAGGCACAACGAAACTAGTAAAACACAAACATGTTTGGGAACAATAATATGGCTGACAGACGCGAATCAGCTGATGGATGCGACAGCGGCGTCTACCCAGTCTGCCTGCTGCAATAATGACCTAGATCATCTTCACTGGGTGCTCCAAGCCTTACCTTACTCATAAGTGAAGGTAGAGTGCCATTATGCCTCCTTTACTAGTCTGTGACGCGCATTATTGGCAGCAAGTTGTACTGGTGTAAGGTTAGGCGGACTGTTCCCCGAGACTATCTACCACCAGGGAACTACGCTAGTGAAAGGTTAGGTGGGTTGGCCCTCATGGTGACCCAATACCACGGGACGACAACTGGCGTAAGACTAGATAGACCGTCCCTCTGGGTGACACACCCCCAGGGGACGATAACTGGTGTAACTCTAGATTGGCTATCCCTCTAGGCAACACATTCCCCAAGTGACGACAACTGGTGTAAGACTAGATAGACCGTCCTTCTGGGCGACACACCCCCAGGGGAGGACAACTGGTGTAAGACTAGATAGACTGTCCCTCTGGGCGACACTCCCAGGGGACGACAACTGGTGTAAGACTAGATAGACCGTCCCTCTGGGCGACACACCCCCAGGGGACACCTGGTGTAAGACTAGATAGACCGTCCCTCTGGGCGACACACCCCCAGGGGACGACACCTGGCGTAAGACTAGATAGACCGTCCCTCTGGGCGACACACTCCCAGGGGACGACACCTGGCGTAAGACTAGATAGACCGTCCCTCTGGGCGACACACCCCCAGGGGACACCTGGTGTAAGACTAGATAGACTGTCCCTCTGGGCGGCACACTCCCAGGGGACGACACCTGGCGTAAGACTAGATAGACCGTCCCTCTGGGCGACACACCCCCAGGGGACACCTGGTGTAAGACTAGATAGACCGTCCCTCTGGGCGACACACCCCCCAGAGGACGATACCTGGTGTAAGACTAGATGGGCTGTCCGTCTGGGTGGCACACCCCCAGGGGACGACACCTAGGGTGCTATCATCCGTGTGGCAGCCGTAATTGGTGGGCCTCGCGATCAGGCTGGGGCATGAGCTGTCATGAGTCACAGGTGTACACTTAGGTACTGTACTTAAGGCTCTGATAGGAGTGTGTTGGCCATGTATTTTCGTTTTCAATGTCACTTCGACCAAGGGCAGGATGTGTTTGTTGACGTGAGTGCCATCGTGTTAAGAGGGTGCAACACCTACTTCACTCTGTCTGTGGTTGTGTGGACCAGCTTGATGTTCATTACTAGCTTTAATGTAGCAATCATTGGTGACTGCACTTCTCATGGTAGAAAAACTCTTGTTGAATTTTACTTTAGGTCATTCATTTAATTATCATCAAGTTTTTTCTCAGCTCTTCTTAACCTTTTTACCATTAAAATAATTATGGGTCATACATTAGATAAACACACATGGATTTCATTGTCAATGAAAGGAAGTGATTTTAATCTTTGCTCTTGATGCTGGTAAAATAAGATAAACACAAAAGTGACTAAAAAATATATTTACATATGATTAGAATTAGCCTATTTATCACTATATCTTGCAGAACCCCTAGTTAATCTGGGGTCTATGGACCTCAGGTTAAGTACCTTCCGGTCTGAGAGAGAGAGAGAGAGATAGAGATCTGGCTCGTTGACCCACTTCCTTGCTATTGGTATCAGTTGTATTTATATCTCGCTGTTCGGTTTCTCTACATCCTGTTTTCTCACCTAATACAAAGCATTTTAAATTGATTTCTCCAAACCATCAAACTTGAGAGCTTTAGTAAAATTAAAGCACCGTAATATTGATGTTTTGCAAACTTCAACCTCAGTAGATTAGGTGGGTTGCTTGGGCTTGAACATTTCTGATTTGTCAAATTAAATGCATTTTTTTTACAGTGTTGCATTGTGAGAATGAAGTTGCTCTATTGCACTTTTGAATTAACACTGTATATAAACTTTTTTTTTTCTCTCGACTCAATTGTCTACTTTTGTTAGTACTGTATTACAGTTCATTATGTACATTTAATGTTGCATGTGAACACTAAAGCTGTAATAAAAAGTTTAACGTGTTGAGATTGAACCTGTGCACAAGGATGTCGAATGTGTTGTGTAATTATGTAATATTACCAAAGTGTAGTTACAGAATAAGAGCAATATGTGTGAAAGCTTGCGTCATCCCTACACTCTGTTTTGTTATGTCAAGTGATATGTGATGTGAGATGATTTGTACATGTTTGCATGGTGATGTCCAGTATGTTGTGTGAGAGATTATACATGTGTGAATGGGGATGTCCAGTGTGTTGCATTGTATGGTAAAGTTGTCAGCCATTGGACACTTAATGAAGCGCCGATATTTGAACATATTGGCATTTCACTCATTTCCCAACATCAATACATAAGTTTAAACATGAATGCCTCTATATCATATTATCAACCATATCCATTCCATTGCATAATAAAAATATAATGTACTGTATATTGTTATCAGATTGAACCCCGCAACATTTTCATCATGATCCCAAAAGTTGCCACAGTTTTGTGGTACAATATTTTGCATGTTACATGACATCCAGTGTGTTGTATGTGAAATTGTACTTGTGCATCGGGATGTTTGTTAGCAATGATAAAATTATATTTTGAATTATTCTGTAGGTGCGGGATGGAGGCAGAGAAAGTGACTGAGTTCATTTCCTACACACAAGCTGACCCAGTCCTCGCTCGACAAATTCTGCAGAGTAAGCTTTGTTGATTTCTTCATTACTGGACACAGTATTTCACTTTTTGCCAAAACATGTTTTCTCCTTACAATATATGCAGTATATAGTAAACTCTCAGTTATAACTACAAGTATGGGTAAACTACAGGCTCTACACTAAATGATTTTATGGCCTTCCTCTTTTTACAGGGTGATCAACACTTTGTTATTCACTTTGTTGGGAGTTTTCAGTATCTTTTCTGAGCTTGGCTTTCTCAATTGCTCCCCTAGCTACAGCTTTGGGTCTACCCAAATTAATACTAGCATGCCAGGCTCTGGGCAACATTTGACTCTACAAGAGAAGTAATTTTCCAAATGATTTTGTTCTGTAGTCTTGGGATGGGGAAACTAGTAGAAAGTTCACCTCAAACCACCACTGAGGGAAACTGCCCACTTTGAAACTACTCACCTACCTCTGAAAACTATCTTTGGGACAACATATTTCTTTACAATTTAATGTATGTACTGTACTTCATTAAGAATATTCATAATATTGTTTGTACTGTGAAAGATGATTTGCACTGGAAACAAGACTTAATTCCCTGGGTTGGCTATGGTCAAAACATATAGTACCTAGTTGCTGTCCATGTACTGTACTCATCACACCCTTTGTACTCATTTATTAACTACCTTTTTTGTATCCTGAGAAATTCTGAGTTGTGTATATTTTGATTGTCATATCTAAATATTTAATTTTACATGCATATGTTTTTAATCTTGTCTAGTTATGAGACTGGTATTTTAGTTAAAGCTATTTTTAACTTTTCTATCTAATTAACATTTAATTTTTTTTTTTTTTTTTTTTTTTTTTACATATATAACTCAATATAAATTTATTTACAGGCGAGAACTGGGATGTTAAGGCTGCTGTACGGTTATTTTCGGTGCTAAGAGGGGCCAGTCCCTTTCATCACTCAGGGCCAGTGCGATCATCTCCACCCAACTTCAGTTCTTCAGTTAAACCTCCAGTAGCTCCTAAACCCATCTATGAGCATAAGCCCACTTATGACACCAGACATTTAGCTGAAGGAAGATCATCTAGTGGCTCCAAATTGGCACCTCTCCCACCGCCAAGAGTGAGAAAGGTGGGAGCCCTGCCCAAGCTCTATCATGAAGGACAGTCTGGGGTACCAATGTTAACACATGTTTTGCCTTCAGTGGGCCCAGATGTTCTTCCTGTAGCAAATATTTTAGTTGAGCCATACAGTAAGAGCATTAACACTACACGAGTCAATAGTTTACCACCCTTACAAAAATGCTGCGGCAGTGTGAACCGTTCTGTGAACTTCTGTCAAGGGCCGGATTTTTCTTCTTGTACAACCCCAGTGGCAACTTCTTCAGTGCCTAGTATAAATAAATATCCGTCAAAACCTCAAAGTGGAAGTGCAAAGAATGCGCTTCTTAAAGAAAAAGTTCGTGGCACATCCGCAAGCTTCCTAGAAAGCCAAAGGAACTCTGTACATGATGGCACTTCCAGATCTTCCTCCGTACCACATAGCTCGACAATTCCTTCGCAAATAACTGTTAATAGTAGCTGTATAATAAGTGTCAACAATCCCAATAATAATACCAATAAAAACAATAATATATATTTAAATGACTTTTCACCATCTGTGAATGACTCAGGAACCCTTTCCACTGCAAGCCAGACAACGAACAGTGTTTACAATGCTTCATCTCACTCATCACCTTTGTCATATTCTATGCAGGCTGCTTCCAAAGACTCGCCATATTCATCATCAGCTGTGCCTTTTGTCACTGGTCCGTCAAGTGTGATTATCTCCTCAATCACTAGTAGTATTGATACAAATACAAGAGACTCCAAGTTAGTGCGAATTATAAATGTAGATTCCTCAAAAGACTACCTGTGTCCTCCTGGCTTTAAGGATAGAAGTGACCGAGAAGCTAATTGTGTATGTGACTGTCAGGAATCTCGCTTGCCAGAGAAAAATACTAATCATAAAGACCTTCCATTGACTGAAAATGTAACTAATAAAATTATAGATGGGGAGAGGTTTTCAAGTGATGAAACTGATTGTGTGTTGCGGCCTGAGGTGTCCAATCTTGTTAGCTCAGGGTCGGGACCTTCACTCTCTGCCCCATGTTCACCAGCCAAACCATTGCTGCGGAAAACAGAAGCTGTAGATTTGGAGGAGTATGATTATTGTAAGTATTTTCTATTTATGTAATTTTGTGTATTCATAACATTTCTTTTATAGGCTTTAATTTTAGGAAGGGCTCTATAAAGAGCTGTCTGAGTTAAGTGCTGGTCAAGCTAAGCCTGAGGTAGACAGCTCTCCGCAAGTTGAAGGGGCGCTTGGGAATCAGAGGTCAATCCAAAACTGAGAAAAAACCTACCAGAAAGCATGCAACTAAACAAGTCACTATCTGAAAAAAAATGAGATATCATCAGGCCAACGATCTTTGCCACAGTTTAAACTCTCTAACTATAATGCACCTGACTACCACAGGTGGTACCCCATTTCACCTGGAGTTTCAGGCAGCCTTAGCCCTCACTAATTCACCTTGCTGTAACTCAGAAGCTCAAAACCTTTAATGGGCACATACTCTGCTTCATGCTTTAGCTATGTGATGGTGGCTATCCCTGGAATGTTAGTTCTTCTGTAGGCCAGCCATTGTTTAATTGCAGCTTTATTTTAATTCTGCCCATATCCTTGAGTGTGTTTCTGGGTTCCTTGGTTGTGGCTCAATTCCATCCCATAGCAGATTTCCATGGTTTTACTTCCCTGCTACTTTTCAGTCAACAGGGTCAGCTTCAGATCTTGTTCGTGCATCTTTTTGGGTTCAATCTTTTTGGGTGCTTCTGGCAGTGACTAACCTTTCAGCTTCCCAGTTTCAAGGATTTTAGGGTTCTTAGTGGCCTGATGTCTAGTGGAAACCTTAGTTCCTAGGGTTTCTCCTTTCCCTGCATGGTTCAGCTTTGTTTTCCATATTCTGCTCACAGGCAAAGATCTCATTTCATGATTCCCCATACCTGGGTTTCCTGCCAGTTGGTTTCCTGGTATCACTTTGGACCTTTAGGTTTCAGTGAGGTGTTGGTACTGTGTGTCCATGCTCTTGTGTCTATCCTGGCTGCTTGGCTGCTATTTGGACTCTGGGCTTATTTTGGTAGCCTCTGTGTTAGAAAGTCTGCTTATGTCATGTCATTGGGTCAAGTGCATTAACTTTACTTCTCATTAGATGTGCAGCCCTACCTTAAATTTTGTCTTCCTCATAAGACAACATTGGACAGAAATCACAAATTACGGGTGAGTACTCCATTATAGATCTGATTTGGAGTTGTAGAAGGTATCCAAGCAGACTTGGATACCTGGTAGTATATCAGGATGCATCTTTGGCAGTCATCTTTGTGGTTAAGAGAAGGTTTGTAGGACTTTTAAGTCTTATGAGTGAAATTCTGTCTGTCATTTTGTACTTGAATAAATTACTGTATATCCAGTGATTCCTGAGCACATTAAAGACCCTACATGGAGAGCTACAAAATTTCCCTGACCATAAAATCTTGTGCAATGGACAAAGCAAATCATTTTGCTGCCCCTTGAGGAGCAGCAAAATAATCTACACAGTGTAACGGGGGGTGGGGGGAAAATAGCTCTATCTTGTCCATTATTCCACCCCCCAGTTAACTAACGAGGCCGGGGGAAACAGCTCTCTCTAGTCCGTTATCCCGTCCCCAGTTAGCTAACTATTCTAGAGCACCCTCCAGAGTTCCTAAGGCAACCTCTCTCGTTCAACACCTTGTAACCTAGGTATTTGACTACCTAGGTGCTAAGACTACAAGGCGCCGTCACTGGATCAGTTACCCGAAACTCTAGAGAGAACTCTAGAATACAGAATCATTGCCACAAACGTATACGAGGAAACGAAAGGAAAGAAATGAATAGTGAAGTAATTAGTGAGGGCTTGGGGGTGAGAGGGAGAGAGGTGGGAGGAGCGAGGAGGGTCATTAGTTGAAAGTGAGAGTTTAGAGAGGGGGTGGAGGGAGAGGTGTAGATAGGTAGAAGGAGAAGAGTAGATAGTAGAAGTAGAAGAGTTGATAGTAGAAGACGAAATGCTGCCACCATCCATTCATGATCATTACATACAAGACAAGGAATGGAACTTGCCTGTATCACAAAATTCTCAAAGGATGTTATCATGAGTTCATTATTAGTATGTTCCCTCTGTACCATGTATCAACTCCAAACATGTACTCATTTATATCATGAACCCAGTAACCACTGAGGCTTTCTCAAATCCTCAACTCAAATCTCTAGGGAACAAAATAAAGTCCATTTAAATGATAAATTCAACAATTATATTTCACATGAAGTATCATAATATAAGCAATCCAATTCAACTGTTAAAGAGAGTCATCATCCAAGAATTCGAGAACCCTACAACTTGACTGCCCCTGATCATCACACAACATATGTAAACACGACCAAGTCACCTTAATGTTCACTCACCGAGGACTGAGTCTAAGTTGAATAGAGAGGGGGGGGGGGGGTCTGTAGTTGACAGAGACTCCCGCCCTTGCCGGCCGACAGCCTCCCTGATAGGGACGTCGTCTCTGTTCTCGTCTGCTCTTCTCTTGATGCTGTTCTGTCTGTCAATGCTTTTTGCTGGATAGCTCTCCGAGTTTATATTGGGGAACCTAGTAGCTAACTCCGCCCACAAATAGATAGCCTCCGGCACTACCAAGCCACTCCTTAAACGTCGGCATGTTTGAAGGCTACCAGACTACAATTATCAGCTTAGCGGAAGCAAGGTGAAATTCTCATGATCTGACCTCAGGTCACTTGGGGTCGTTAACGGTTAGAGGTGTGAGATCTCAGGCAGACAACTGGCGCCTCTCCGATCCTTGTCTGTGACTCATGTACTCTATGTATGTATTTTAAATAAACTAACCCAAACACTTTTACAGTGTTACATCTCCCCTTCTCCCCGAAAATAAAGTTTTTGCAACACTGCTAAAGCAAGCTAGCTGTGTGCGACAACTTTATTAACGAAAAGAATACATCCTAGCTAAACAAATATACATCATCCTACTCTAAAAAAATGAAATATATAGACAGACGTCCATTGTCTCTGGCTGGGCGACGTCACTGCTTGGTCTTGTAGATAATCCTGTACCACATTTCTTCAACACAACTGCCTCCGTCGCTTCTCCGTCGTTAACGCACAACAACACTTGGTCAACCCGAAAGCCGTTACTACTTGAACTGAGCACAGGACCGTGGAATTCGGTTGTCCCAGCTGATCTGTAATTGGCCCTACGTCAGTCACCATGAGAGACGTATATTGGGGTTCTTCACAGCTATAGGGACTACAAGTTTCGAGACCTTCATATAGTTGCCAACAGTAGAAATCCCATCCTACTCTTCTTCCTCCCTGTTGCTCCAGCACGCCTCCTTCAGAGAGCTACTTCTGACAGCCACATCAAGTCCGCATGACACAGGAAGAATCACTCAACAGAGCAACATGCTTGTAGGAGGGGCGGCCAGTTAAGGCAACCGATCCTGTCTTGCAATTACGCTCCATGCAATGATGCTGATACCAGCAAGGGACACGAGGCATCGTGTCTCACTCAGCTTGTCTTATCTTCTTTCTTCTCTCTTCTTTCTTCTCTCTTCCTTCTTCTCTCTTCTTTCTTCTCTCTTCTTTCTTCTCTCTTCTTTCTTCTCTCTTCCTCCTCCCATGGGTCTTTGACAAGCGACCTGGGGTCCATTGGGGTCCGTCCTGGGTAGACCGATGTTGGTGGGACAGACTGGAGTCGTTGTTCCTCTTCCATCTTTACTGGGTCGTCTGGGTTCGTCTGCAGAACGACCTGGGGTCCACTGGGGTCCGTCCGTCTTGGGGTCCACTGGGGTCCGTCCGTCCTGGGGTCCACAGGGTAGACCAATGTTGACCGACCGAGAGGGCTGCATCTTGGGGTCCCCTGGGGTGGTGGTGGTGGTGGAGCCATGACCTCCAGGTAGTGGGCTGGTCGTGGTGGTGGTGATAAACGCCCCTGAGTGTGGTACACAGCAGCCGTCTCCCTCTTCTGTATGTGCGTCTCTCCTCTCTTCTGGCTCCCACCTGTGGATGAACATAAAGGCGACAATACCCGTGTTCCATCTTGTTGTGTGACCCTGTAGTTTGTATAGGGTTACACAGTTATATCATAACGCTCTCCTCCTGGCAACAACTACACTTCAATTTTTTTTTTTTAATAATCCAATTAACTCTGAATGATATTGACTTGGTGGAACATAAAACAGTAACAGAGGAAAGTTTAGAGAAGAGAGAATAAGGTCATCACAACTTTTAACTTGTCACAAAAAAAATCAACACTAATAGACAAAACACTAGCCTAAACTTAACTGTACCGTTCCTAATCTTAAGTACATAATTAACCATTACTCCCACCCTTAACCTACAGCCACCTACGTGACCCAGAGTGTCTCCCTAGCTTCTCCGCCGGTCAACAACCCCAAACTCTTGCCACCCCTGTGACCAGACTATCTAACGTCGAGCGTCCCCAACGTGAAGTCTACTGACATACTAAGGCTCCCCCTAGCATGCTGTACAATACCAGTACACCTCGGGTTATTGCGTTCAAATGGAGTAAAACAGTCGATCGCAATAATCTGAGCAGAACCACTAAAAACTATTTAAGAACTACACCTGCCACTCCCCACTGACCTGGAGACCAGCGGTGGCTGGGTGTCCCCGTGGGACATGCGAGGTCACCTGTCACACTCAGCTGACCTGCACTACCAACACCGCTAAGTTCCCAAATCGCCAAATCTTATTACTAACATAAATCACTACACCCGCAAGTTCTGGTGAACATTCCCTGAATACCACAAAACTCACAAAATCACTAAACACAACACCAGAGAATCACTATCTCCTAACCTGAACAAAGCTCGCTAAATCGCGAAAGTAAAACACCTGTCAAGATCTCCCTGATAGCGCCTGAGCGGCAAAAGACACGTGGGACTGAACAATGTTAAAAGAACACCAACTACCTACAACATTGTTCAACACCGCTGCCAACATTGTAACGGGGGGTGGGGGGAAAATAGCTCTATCTTGTCCATTATTCCACCCCCCAGTTAACTAACGAGGCCGGGGGAAACAGCTCTCTCTAGTCCGTTATCCCGTCCCCAGTTAGCTAACTATTCTAGAGCACCCTCCAGAGTTCCTAAGGCAACCTCTCTCGTTCAACACCTTGTAACCTAGGTATTTGACTACCTAGGTGCTAAGACTACAAGGCGCCGTCACTGGATCAGTTACCCGAAACTCTAGAGAGAACTCTAGAATACAGAATCATTGCCACAAACGTATACGAGGAAACGAAAGGAAAGAAATGAATAGTGAAGTAATTAGTGAGGGCTTGGGGGTGAGAGGGAGAGAGGTGGGAGGAGCGAGGAGGGTCATTAGTTGAAAGTGAGAGTTTAGAGAGGGGGTGGAGGGAGAGGTGTAGATAGGTAGAAGGAGAAGAGTAGATAGTAGAAGTAGAAGAGTTGATAGTAGAAGACGAAATGCTGCCACCATCCATTCATGATCATTACATACAAGACAAGGAATGGAACTTGCCTGTATCACAAAATTCTCAAAGGATGTTATCATGAGTTCATTATTAGTATGTTCCCTCTGTACCATGTATCAACTCCAAACATGTACTCATTTATATCATGAACCCAGTAACCACTGAGGCTTTCTCAAATCCTCAACTCAAATCTCTAGGGAACAAAATAAAGTCCATTTAAATGATAAATTCAACAATTATATTTCACATGAAGTATCATAATATAAGCAATCCAATTCAACTGTTAAAGAGAGTCATCATCCAAGAATTCGAGAACCCTACAACTTGACTGCCCCTGATCATCACACAACATATGTAAACACGACCAAGTCACCTTAATGTTCACTCACCGAGGACTGAGTCTAAGTTGAATAGAGAGGGGGGGGGGGGTCTGTAGTTGACAGAGACTCCCGCCCTTGCCGGCCGACAGCCTCCCTGATAGGGACGTCGTCTCTGTTCTCGTCTGCTCTTCTCTTGATGCTGTTCTGTCTGTCAATGCTTTTTGCTGGATAGCTCTCCGAGTTTATATTTGGGAACCTAGTAGCTAACTCCGCCCACAAATAGATAGCCTCCGGCACTACCAAGCCACTCCTTAAACGTCGGCATGTTTGAAGGCTACCAGACTACAATTATCAGCTTAGCGGAAGCAAGGTGAAATTCTCATGATCTGACCTCAGGTCACTTGGGGTCGTTAACGGTTAGAGGTGTGAGATCTCAGGCAGACAACTGGCGCCTCTCCGATCCTTGTCTGTGACTCATGTACTCTATGTATGTATTTTAAATAAACTAACCCAAACACTTTTACAGTGTTACAACAGAAAGGTGCTTTTCTTATATCTCAAAGCCCGATTTATTTTTACCCTGTATTTCAAACATACAGCAAGTTAAAGAAAATATATTACATAATTGTTTAATTTCCCCTCACCTTGAATGCATCGATCAAGAATATTTTAAATTGCCGACCACTCATATGCAGTAATGGATATCCACCATGGGGGGATCTTAACATTTGACAATACAGCTGCACACATGTTCATGTAGTATTACATTTTTTTGCGTAACAATTTTTTCTTGTAACACCTATATTTTTCCCCCCTATAATATATTTAACAAATATCTGATCTGAATGCTCATAAGGTGTGGGGGAATACATTCTCATATAGTTTCAGGAAAAACTGCATGTGTCTAGCTCATTTTCATTTTAAAATCACTGTTTTATTATGTTGCTTCACAAATGTCATAACTTGTTCCATTTTTCTACCTTTTAGATGTTCTAGCACAAAGATATGCAAAACAGGACTTCAACTGAGTCTAATGGAACCTAAATTTTGCATACAAGTTTAAAAGAGATACAGATATTAAACAAAATAATTTGAAAGGATCACATGAACATTTCCATTTTGCACTTTAGAAATAGTCGCTCATTATGGAGGTTCAGTTGTGTATAAAGGTTCATTCTATAATAACTTCTGCTCTAAATAAGAGAAGCACTTCTTTGTTGTACACTGTGTGTACTGTAGCTACTATTAATTTATGCTATACCCATTATGCCAAAGTAAGAATGAGTCCAGCTCAGTGTATAATACTTAATTTGTCTGTTTTTCAGACAAAAAATTGAGCCGAGGGATATCTAAGGCTACTGACAATGTAAATATTGTATCTAAGGCTCGGTCTGAATTTGCACAAGAGATCTGGGAAGCAATAGATTCCAGCCGTACTCCATTTTTCATAGAAACTCCTATTTTCACTTTTACATTACCAGACCTTAGCATATATTCAGGTAAGTTCAAGATTATTTTTGTCAACCTGTGTAAACTCTCCAAATGGTTTTTGTAAATTTCTTAGTAAAGTTGCTGCTCTAAAATTTTAGCATCAAAATTTCATCTTAATTTGATCTACAGTATATATGAAATATTTAGCACTATTATATGTCAATATTTATGCAAAACAGTACTATAGCATGACTGTCAATGGGGGTTACTGACCATATTGAAAGTGTATCTTTTTATCAAATAAAAGCTAATTGTTTTGCGAAGGCACTGTGGAGGAGGAAGTTACCTGCTAAAATTTGTGTCACTGTACACAATTGAAGATGGAATCAGAAAGTATATATAGAGTAAATTTTTTGTTTTGTTCCTTTTCAAATCAACATACTGTATGCACATCTGCCCTTGATTGCTGTATTGAAGTGTTATTTGGGTAGACATAAGATACTAGAAGGCTATATGTATATACCTTATTTTCCTAAGATTCAGTTACAGCTAGTGTGAAAATTCATCATACTAAAATGTAACTGTTTAAAATGGGGTAAGAAATATGTGCTGCATTCACACTCTAAATTTGTATTTACAGAATATTATGTCTTGCAGATGAATTTCGCTTGTTTTTGGAGAGAGATCTGATTGAGACATCAACCTTGGTATCCCTGGAGGGTGCTGGACGCCTAAATTGGTGGGCTCTAATTGGCGCTTCCCAAAGGTTGTGGCCTTTGGCAACTACTGGTGATGGCAACTGTCTCCTGCATGCTGCATCACTTGGTAAGATAATGCCATATTTGTTTACATCATCATCTTGAGGTTATCTTGAGATGATTTCGGGGCTTTTTAGTGTCCCCGCAGCCCGGTCCTTGACCAGGCCTCCATCCCCAGGAAGCAGCCCGTGACAGCTGACTAACTCCCAGGTACCTATTTACTGCTAGGTAACAGGGGCATCAGGGTGAAAGAAACTCTGCCCATCGTTTCTCGCCGGCGCCCGGGATCGAACCCGGGACCACAGGATCACGCGCCCAGTGTTCTGTCCGCTCAGCCACCGGCTCCCGCTCCACATATTTCTGCTCTTTTTCACCACCTTTATTAGGTTGGTTAAGGCATCTGCTTTGTAAAGTTGGAAAAGTATTGCAGAAGAGTTAAAGGTAGTGTATTTATAATGACAGCTTCTTTCATAACACTTTGTGCACCAGTAGTAGCATTATGGAAAATCTGTGCCACAGCATTGTCAAATAATTATATATAAATGTGAGGTATTGTTCCTCTACATGTTATTATTCTCTTTTTAACTAATGTCCATTCTCAATTTCAGACATTAATGACCTAGTAAACAGATTGATAAGCATTAGAATCTCATAAAAAAAATTGTCATTTACTGTAGTGTAAATAAAAGAAAATGGTTTTCTTTGTAATTCTGCCTGTGGTTAATTTATATTGGATTATGAGCATGGTACCTTATTGTATTTGAATGGGTTAATTTACTGATATACATGAGTTTCAGAAAATATTCAGTTGTCATTTAACTACTTAGTTATTTGATGTGGCTTTCTGGATACTCTTGTCTCTTTCAGTGGGCCTATTCAGGCTCTTCAACCATTTGTTCTCCAGGCTGGTCAGATATTCTCTTCTACTATTTGTCCTCCAGGCTGGTCAGATATTCTCTTCTACTATTTGTCTTCTACTATTTGTCCTCCGGGCTGGTCAGATATTCTCTTCTACTATTTGTCCTCCAGGCTGGTCAGATATTCTCTTCTACTATTTGTCCTCCGGGCTGGTCAGATATTCTCTTCTACTATTTGTCCTCCAGGCTGGTCAGATATTCTCTTCTACTGTTTGTCCTCCGGGCTGGTCAGATATTCTCTTCTACTGTTTGTCCTCCGGGCTGGTCAAATATTCTCTTCTACTATTTGTCCTCCGGGCTGGTCAGATATTCTCTTCTACTATTTGTCCTCAAGGCTGGTCAAATATTCTATTCTACTATATGTTCTCCAGGCTGGTCAAATATTCTCTTCTACTATTTGTCCTCTGGGCTGGTCAGAGATTCTCTTCTACTATTTGTCCTCCGGGCTGGTCAGAGATTCTCTTCTACTATTTGTCCTCTGGGCTGGTCAGATATTCTTTTCTAATGTTTTGTCTACAAGGCTTGTGAAATATCATCATCTGTTTTGAGGTTCAGATTTTTTAACACTCTCTGTGCTGAATAGTGTAAGTACAATTTTGTACATAGACTAGGTGCTTTAGTTAGGTTTAGTTTAGTTAATATGCATAATATACAAAAGTATTGATAAGATATATTGAGCAGTATGCTCAGTGTAAGGGTATGAGATTGGAAGCCGTACCTGTGAGTACAGACTAGCAAATCCCGTTCTTACTTCCTTATAAATAATGGAAGGGATGTATATGTGTGTGTATGTATTGTTGAGATTAAGAGGGATGCTTTTCAGCAAACATAAGCTTTTGGGGTGAATTGACTATTTGATCCACACAAACTGGGACTTAAGGTTGCCATGTTATCCTACACTTCCCTGGTGAACTATAAAGGTAGCATGGGCTTTAACAATACAAGGTCCTGGCACTTAAACACTTTACACATGGGGACCAAGGTTGGTGGGTTATAGACCAGGTGTTAAAGAAATCTGAGGGAATGAATCAAAATAACTCAAAACACCACTTACACACAAGGTTCTATAAATAAACTTAGTTTTAAAACTGCCTATCACTAATGCAGAGAAGGAGCATCGCTATAGCACATAAGAGATACAATGCACTTATCGTTATTGTAGGAGACCATCGCACATCACACAAGTGACGACGCGCCTACCCTTCGTCCTGCCCACAACAGAGTTCATGAGACTGCTAGCGCATCTGTGTCTAACCGCATGGTTCCAATAATGTTTCATATACACTTGTGTCCTAAAATAGTTCATTTGTATGTCTCAACATTTAACACTATTGTTTCTATATATTTTCCAGCACTGAATATACTTTTTAAACATGTATTTTCTTTGCTGTTTACACTGTTCTGGGGATAACACTTTCCTTCTGTGACAATGCTCTGCACATTTGCAGAACTGACTATTGTACGGGCAGGGATTCCAGATGCAAGAGTTCAACAAGAGTTCTAGATTGTTTTTCAACATTTAACACTGTTGTTTCTGTGTCTCTCTACTGAGTTGTACCCTTCACAAGGGTCTCTCTCTTACATCAGTATGATTGGTAATACCTGTACATCTTTCAATATGTACAAAACTGCTTATTTAAGATTTAGATAAAATGTGAAGTATGCATTTTCTTAGTGTGGCTTGAGGATGAACTGCAATAGTGTTGGTTAATAATCTCTAACCTTTATTCATTTTAGGAATGTGGGGGTTTCATGACCGTTTGCTAACCCTTCGCAAAGCTTTACATGAATTTTTAACCCGAAGTCAATTTAGTCGTCCACTGTGGCGGCGATGGCGGTGGCAAGTTGCACAGCAGAACAGGGAGACAGGTAAGGACTGTAACTTTAGAATTAATGAAGTAGTCCTTGTTTTGATTTTTTGACCGGGTCTGCAGGTTTGTTAATGAGTCACCCTTCATTATCTATAAAATTAGATAAAGTAGAGAAGTAAAGGGCTGTAAAAAGGAAGCTGTTTCTTCTTTTACTTATATTACTCACATATGGCCCATGTCATTGACTACATTAATACTACAACACAGCTGCTGACCTGCAAGGCACTCTCAAACTATATACCATTTAAAAAAAAAATTGTGGATTTTAAATGTATTTTTATCATTAATGTATTCTAGTTTGTCATCTATGTATACGTATGAGAGAGAATGGCTGCTGTTTGTCTTTGTCCAAGGTTGGAGGCCAGATGCTTGGTGCTAATCCCACTCAATTTTCACACACGAATTTAGTGGGGGTCTGGAGTCTCACAGACCAGTTGGAGTCAGCTCCTGTACCATACTTTTAGGAAATATTGGCATCTAACCCAATTTTCATGAAGTCCAGCCTGAAATATTGGTTGTGCTGTTGTAGACTTACATCAACTTTTTGTTATATAATTTATCTGAGAGGGAGAGAGAATGATTGAAAGAATTATGGTACATTGCCCAGCTCTAATGATTTATGAAATATACTTGACAAGGGTTAAATAAGTTCCTCTTTACATTTTTTTAAGAACTGAGCACAATCTTTATTGGGATCTGTGGGTTGGTTTGATTTTAGTTTTATATTTGTTTACTTCGTCACCGTTGGCTTACTACTGTATTAGTTTGTTAATTTCTTTGGTAGTGTGAAAATAACAAGATTAACAGGCTTTTAATGTATACACACAAAATTTTACCAAATATTGGATGCACATATTGACAATTTACTTATCTAAGGCACATATAAAATAATTCTTTAGAGCATAAAATGCAACATAAAATTTTATAAACCATAGTGTCTGGAATCAATTATTTTCTGTTCTATCCAAACAGAAATCAACTATATATAACCTTTCCTACATTGCCTTTAGTAATTTTGAGTGCCATAAATATGTCTTTAACAAAAACAATTTCTTGCATAAATACATTATTGAGTATACAGAGCACCTCTTGCACTGCAAGAGGTTATATGGTTCAAGAATTTTAATGTTTACTATTCATCTGCAAACTTTGCTGTTATCAGGTATTTTCACAGGTTTGGTGTATAGTAATGAAGAGTGGGAAACAGAATGGGCAAATGTTCTTCGGTTGGCCTCTAGTGCTCCGCGTGGCAGCCAAGACAGTGGTGGAGAGGGCAGCTCTGACAGCAGTCAGAAAACAAAAGGGCAAACCAACACATGTTCTAAGGCTGATTCTCCCCCTGCATGCAAGAGATTAAGTAATGGGTAAGGACTTTAACATTTCTTAAGAATTTTGGGCTTTGGTACACGTGTGATTTTACATGTTACAAATATCTAATACACTTATCATTTATAAATAAATTATTTACAAATATTGCATTACTGTACTGTGTGTCAAGTGTCATTTTTTGTACACTGAGGAAAAGTTTGAATCTCATTATTCATTAGCAATTGCTGGATGGAGGTTGAGAGTGGGAACTCAATGTGAGGCCTGATTCCCTGTGTCACCCAAATGTGTTGTTGAACTAGTTGGTAAACTATAATAATAAAATATGACAAATTTTGACTTTGAGGTCAAGTACTGTTGAGATAGTATTTAATGTTGAGTGTTTACTTATGAAGTGATGGCTTGTTACTTATTTATTTTGTGTCCACAGAATTATGGTGGATATACAATTCTTTGCATATAATATAGTGCTACTACCTTAGGGACCTTTTCTGAATCGACTACTTCAGTGGTAGCTCCTGTCTCCTGAACGTTCATATCCAGTAACAAACATGTTTGTGTTGCAGCCAGTTTTTGGGCTGGCCTAGTACGTACTGTATTTGATGTAATCAGAGATGTGTACCAATGAACATTTGAGCAAGACTGTACTGTAATATATTGTTTCAGATTTCAAACAAGCCAAAGTGAAGACTGCACAGGACATGTTTATGAGAGCTTAGAAGAGATACATGTATTGGCTTTGGCCCATGTCCTTCGACGACCTATTATTGTGGTAGCTGACATAACCCTGAAGGTAATTAATATACAATATTGCAAGACAGTATTTTGTATGTCCATCTTTTTTAGAAGTTTTCATTTTGTGTATTTTGTAGTAGCCCACTGAGGTGGTATTCTCCAGTACAAGGATAGGCTTGTATGCTCCATATATTTTGTTTGCAGGAAGAGCAAGTAGTATTTGGAGCTGCATACCTTATAACCAATTGTCCTTATGTTGTTTTGAAAATTGGGTCATTATTGCTATGGTTTATATGAAATCCAATATATTAGTTTTTTATAGGAAAATCATAGTTGCTGGTGAATATTATGCAAGATATGTAGACAGAGCCACCTGTTGTTGAAAATGATGCACATAATAGGATTAGGGCTGGTATTGGTAACATAGTAGACAGGATGGACAACACTTTTTCCAGTAATGGGAATAAGCTTTTTGTCTGGCTCTCAGTTGTATGAAATTATGTTGGTATGGGTTAGTATGAGGAACTAATAAATAATTTCAATTTAATGATCTTAAAGCACTCGTGTGTAAAGTAGGTTGATCTAATAGCAGACATGACTTTAACATACTCAATACCGTAGGCTATATGGTTGAATGTTGGATTAGGGGGCTACAAACATTTCCATGTAGATAGAACAGATAGGAAAGGTACAGAAGTGGTAATATTTGTGAGGTAGGATCAGAAATGCAGCATTAAACAAAAGCAAGAGAAAGACTGATGACCATTTAGAAACTATTTGGGTAGAAGTGGCTGATGGCAAAAAAGCTCTTAATCTGAGAAGTATATAGGTATGAAGATCTTGATTAAGTAGGAGGCAGACTCATCTGAACAGAATTGACCATCCAGACAGGTCAACTTTTCACCTTAGTGTATTGTAGGGTCTTTTAAACATTCCCACCAGGTTATACTGGGACAAGGGAAACACTGAAGAAGACTATCCATCCTGGAAACGCCTCCAGAAGGTTCATTCACCTATGTTTATATCTCCCTTCTGAGTACTACTCAATCTCAAAGAGACAGCATGTAGCACACTGCTAACTGTTAGTTAGCCTGCTTGCCTGGCCATTGCCTCCCACATCTTTTAGATGTCAGCCAGCATATGTCAACAGAGTAGCTAGGAGATGAACACCTTACGTTGCATCTGACTTGTAAGGTTTTGTTTTATTAGCCATTGCTGTAAATAATCGTTTGGTTAAGTTCCATGCTCTTTCACTTTATTGGTTTTGTCTCATTTACTGTTGAGTTGGGGGTTGCATTTTGAATGCATCTGCTTCAATTTTTTTTCTTGGCCAAGAATGAAATATGCTTCTTCTAGAGGGGCCTAATCTTTGTGTATATATTTTTGGTGTCAGGCTTTTATTCGTCATGATCTTTGTCTACTGGCAGTCTAGTGTTGAATACCTATGATATTGAAGACTGCCAAGGTTCACTACCTTGCCAGTAAGGAGGTTCAACCTCCTTACTGTAATTAGTTGCAGTAAGGCATACTTGTCTCGGTTGCATTGCAGAGTGCAGTAGTTAAATTTCGTCAGCCATGTAGATATCCACATAGCATTCTTCTCTGCAGTGTATTATGCATACATGTGGGTTCAGGGGGATTTTGGGAATGAACCACATACTGTACTAGCATCTTGGTACCATTACTAAGGTAACAACTTTGTGACCTGCTCAAAAAGATGCTTTTTAAGAGCACTTGGAATTAATTGTCTGATATGATACAGGTAGTAAGATTACAGATGTGAACATTTGTTCAAGTGGAGTAACTTGCTTCCAACCATGATAAATCATCCTAATCTAACATGATTTAGTTACAGTATCAGGTAGAGTTATCAAATTTTTACTTGCTCCTTCCAATTAGTTATGCTTTAATGTATAAGTTAAGCTACATTAAGTTATGTTTGGTTAGGTTAATGCTGAGTTAGTTTAGGTTAGGTGGAAACTGGAACAAGAGAATTGACAATGAATATCATAAGCAGCAATTTTTTCGATTTAAAGCAAATGTTTAGATTTTGGTTGTATTTATATCATTAATGCCCTTCATTTATTTTTTCTTATTGGCAAAAAAAATGACTGAACCTTGTTTGACTTGTCGTTAGGTTCACCCAAATGCTCAACATAGCAACAAGTGAATTTTTTTTTGTCTTCTAACTTGTGTTTTTGATATGCTTGTAAAATTTTCAGACACATGTATGTCTTTATTAGGATGTCAGTGGTGAACCATTAGCTCCCATCCCTTTTGGTGGGGTATACCTTCCCTTGGAGTGTCCTCCACGCGAGTGTCAACGCTCTCCGCTGCTTTTGACGTATGACGCTGCTCATTTCTCTGCTCTGGTTGTTATGGAAACACAGGCAGAATGTAGTGCCTCTCAGCTTCCTGGTAAGATTCATTAAATAGATTTTTAATTTTCCCCTCTCATATTTGCTAATTTCTTTCAGGATTGCAACCTGAGCAGGATGTTGAAATGACAATTTGTCTTTTAAATATCATCACTTCATCTGTCTTAGAGACTATATATCATACTTTAAGTATATTCATACATTTTTCAGAAATCATATGTATTACAGTACACTGTTTTTGTTTTAGCAGTTTTATTCAGGTATCTGCTATGTGTCACTTTGCCCTTCATGTAATCATCTATTTACTATTCTCTTTCCAAGCCAAATAAAGAATTTAAATTGGAATATTTTGTCTCTGCTTTGAAAGATCCACATTTTTGCCTGGCTTTAGGATCAGACTTATCTCACGGACTGATGAAACAGGTGTACCCATTTTCATTACTGCTCCCCCCCCCCCCCTGGCATTTTTCATTCATGATTCATTGACGAGTCATCAGCTACACACATCTTTGTGTTACAATAGCTCATTAGTGCATTAATCAGTCCAAAATGTTTTCAAATCGATTTACTAACTACTATTTGTGTGTGTTGATGGCATATATCACACACAAGATAATGGTTATAATTTTTTTTTTAACTACTGTATTCATAAGACCACTAATGTCTGAATATGGTTGTGTGAAAATTAATCTTCTTAGTCTATAAATAGTTTTACAAACTGAGAAGGATTATAAATCTTTTACAAATTTTGGTAAGTTTAGTTGTGTCTCTAAACACCGACATTATTCATCAACAGCATTTTCTTTTTGTGCCATACTAAAGAAACTTAGTTTCTAGTAATTTTTATTTATAAAGATTGATATTCTTGCCCTATAAACAGGTTTGAAATATGAAAGTGTTAATGACAGAGTACTTAGGTTAATATTGTCAGTATGCCATCCTGTTATCAGTGGGGGTATAAAACTGTGTGTTATCTACAGGCTTATTATTTTGCAACTTGCTGAGCAAGCTACCTTTCTAGTTATGTTAAGAATATCTTTTATGTTTTTTAAGCTAAGCCTTTTAAAGGTATTTTTTTTATGCTACAGCTGTGGTTCCCTTGACTGACTGTTGCCATGAGCTGCTACCTATCCAATTTGTGATTGACCCTGGGGAAGACTTTGTGTGGGGACAAGATGACCAAAACCCAATAATTGTACAGAAGCTCACCATAACTAATCATGATCAAGTTGGACTCCTCAATGAATATCTTGATGTAACCCAGGTTAGATTTTTTGGTATACCCAGTAAGGATACCTTACAGTTTTACTATAACTATTAACTAATATATATATATATATATATATATATATATATATATATATATATATATATATATATATATATATATATATATATATATATATATATATATATATATATATATATATATATATATATATATATATATATATATATATATATATATATATATATATATATATAATTTGTTTTGTTTATTTTTTCTGAGCTTAAACTCAAGTGTTTGTTTAGGCAAGTGTTTAGCTCTTCCTTGGGCACTAATGAAACTGCATAGAATATAAATATAGATTCTTTATGAAAATGGTGAGTCCTCTGAGGTATTGCAATAAACTATAATAGTACATTTATACTAACATTTCACCTCAAAAGACACCTTGACAAGAAACTCGTCCTTCTCAGTGTTAGGGGCCAGTGTTATACAAGTCATACATACATAGGGCCAGAGTTACACAAACCATACAAGTTTTGTTAAGTCATACAGAAACAAGTTTTAAAAAATAGTTTATAGATTAACAACTATAGATTCGGAAGGGGGGGGGGGAAGCAAAGGAGAGAAGGGGGAATGTGGAGAGAGGTGGATGGAGATGATGGTGATGGGGAATAGAGAGGAGGGATTGGAGAAGAGGTACCTGAGCATGGCTGTGTGCACTTCAGTTAATGTTGCAATATATACAATACGTTACATATCAATTTAAATATCATTAATAATAAATATTTTAACTTGCACTTTCAAGCATTGGTCACTTTTCCTTGGCAGGTGCCAATCCCACCAGGTTATCTTGAGGCTTGTCAGGCAGTGGACGAAGCCGACTCACCTGAGAATTATCACCCAGAGATTGAGAAAAAATCTTCAGAGTCAAGTTTTGACTCTGATGAAGGCCCTCCATTCATAGATGGAGCAAGTGGGATTTTTGCAAGTAAAAGCAAGGCCTCTAAGCAGCTACAAACGGTTGCAAAGCAATTTGGAAGTATTGGTAAGACAATGTCAAAAAAGATTAAAAAGAATTTTGGTACTTTGTCAAAACTGGGTCGGACTGGGTCATTTAAGAAAAAAGACGAATATATAAAAACTTGCAGTGTGACAAAAAATGGCCGCATGCTGAAAGTTTCCACACATCAGAATTACATTTTAGCAGCTATGATTCACACTGAAAAGCGCCATGCATACCAAGAAGAAATGGTGCGCAACTATCTCAATACTGCACGTCGTAGGTTTGAAAAGGATGCAGAATTGAAGAAGAGACAAGAGGAGGAGATAAAGCAATTAAAACTAGAACAGTTGGAGCATCAATCTGAAATGGAGGGCCCTGTGCAGTGTATTAATCCTGGCTGCAACATGTATGGCACAGCACTTACATCTTACATGTGCTCATCGTGCTTTTCCAAGCAAAAAGAGCAAGAGCAAAAGTACAAGCGACAGACAACAGGCAATCTAAATTCCCCCAAATCAACACATTTCCGGGCTGATGGGCCACAGTATGGGGCTGGGAAGTCCAAATTTTATGCTGAGCTGGATGCTGCATCAGCATCAGATGCATCAAAAATTCCAGTTATCCAACCTTTGTCCTCTAAAAAAGATGGTACATTATATTTATCTAATTCTACTTTCTACAGTGATAGTTCTACAGTTCCTAGCTATAACATTGCTAAATCTCAGTCTGCTGGTCCAACCAATGTTAGCTCTGTATGCACCAATACTCATTCAGTGGAACCAGATTTGCCCTTGCAGCTTTCACCTGCTACTGTCATAACAACCACAATGGGCTGCCAGAGCTCAGAAACCTTTACACCTGTTGCTATAGATGATGTGAATGTCAGTGTCCGAGGAGAGGACAGGTCTGACAGTCCATCACAGCCTTGTCTAACACGAGACTGTAAGTTTTATGGAAGTTGTTCAACCGGTGGATATTGCTCTCGGTGTTACCAGGAAAATAACAGCAAAGGTCACAAAAATGTGATGGTGCAGCAGATAAAGTCTGTCCAACTATAGGCTTTCGCCACTTAATGTCGTGTGCTTTAATTTAACATTGAATGTTTATTGTTTTGACAGTTTTGGTGTTTAACCCCCATTTATAGAATTGTTTAGGTATATTTTATCTAGTCATAGTGCCATAATTATTGAGAGTTCTGTTAAATGTTTAACCCAGTGATGTTTTTAGTAAAAGTGAAAATGCACTTACCTTAACATTTGTTGAGGATAGATGTGCCTTTGATACATAAAGATGCAGTAACAATTTCCTCAGATTAGCAGGGAGTGTGGAATGATAGAAAATACCAAGGTTCTTGTGGTAATAAAAAGGAAAATAGTGTACAGAACAGTGGTAATTGGGTCAAGGTGCCTAGTTTCAGTGGTACTGAAAGCTTAAAGAAGAAGCCCATCATAGATGGATACTGTATTGTGATTTTTAGAAAGTTGAGCAAAAATAATTATCTCATTTGGAATTGAATGTGTTGTGCATTGTTACAACATTTTGTTTTCATCAGGTAGCAAATTAAAATGAATTGCCATACTGGTATGGTATTGTAAATGTGCATATACAAAGGTATGTTAATTCTGCATTAAATTTCATCTCTACATAAGATTAGTAGTAATTGGAATTATTCGCTAGAAGCAGCAGCTCATGTTTAACATGAGTTTTAGTACTTTATATACTCTACATATTACATTTTGACAGCATATTATTTTTTCCAACATTTCATTTTATTTGCATTTTACTTTTAAAATAAGGTTATGAGTATTGATTTATTATCAATAAATGGAAAATTCTTAATTTGTTAAATGACCATTTGAAAAAAAAATTTATCTTTTCAGTAAGGTACTACGTATATATGTTATATTATTAATTTTCTTAAATATGTTAATCTTCTTGCAACCCATTTACCATACCCATTCCTCTCTCTATTTTATGTTAAGGATATACACCCTAACCTACTTGAAAATGTTAATAATTTAAGATATGTAATTAAGATAGCATGGTAAAATGAGAAGGCATATCCACAGTTGTTGGTGAAGTCTCATTTGAATTTGTGTAACCTGCATGACATCCATTATTGTTGTGTATTTTACACATACATTTATACATTTCACCAACAAGTGCTGTAATAACACTAGCAAATTCTCAAGTGACAGCTAAAAACATTGATTGCATTTGATGAATTTTGACTGTCAAATATAACTGCTATTATATTTTACAGGACAGCATGAAATCATGTCCAGTTATTAATATCTTGAGATAGTGAGGAACACTACAAATGGTCATTAATGGGCTTAACGGCAGCAAAGGCAGGCGTTTGGGACGAGAGGATCCTAACCAAGAGAGGAATGGGTTGATGCAAATTAATCTGGTGCACTATTACTACCTCCAGTTGAATGTCATTTAGGTTTATAAAGGTATATTTTGTATTAACATTGATTATCAACTGTGGTTTTTTAAAGAATTAGTTTGCATATCAAGAATTATGTGTGTGTGTGTGTGCATATTTTCAATTGTTAATGATTGGTATTACAGTCCTTTGGATTTGGTGATGTGAGTGTAAAATATATATATATATTTTCTTACTGTATTGTGCTGCCTAAAGTGAATATAATATTAAGGCAGGCATCTCAGTAGCTTAGATGTATGCAATTGCAATTGGTAGGCATACATGTAATGGACTATTGCATCTTGTCTCACTAATTTTCTTCACCATGTAGATTCTTTGAGAGAATTTTAGCAAATGCCCAAGCAATCTTTCATTATATGATACAATACCGTATGTGTGTGTATATAAATATATGCATGTGTAATTACCTAAGTGTAGTTACAAGATGAGAGCTATGCTCATGGTGTCCCATCTTCCCAGCACTCTGTCATATAACGCTTTGAAATTACTGACGGTTTTGGCCTCCACCACCTTCTCACCCAACTTGTTTTAATCGTCTACCACTTTGTTTGCGAAAGTGAATTTTCTTATATTTCTTCGGCATCTTTGTTTAGTTAGTTTAAATCTATGACCTATTGTTCTTGAAGTTCCAGATCTCAGGAAATCTTCCCTATCAATTTTATCAATTACTGTTAATACTTTGTACGTAATGATCATTTCGCCTCTTTTTCTTCTATCTTCTAGTTTTGGCATATTTAATGCCTCTCCTCGTAGCTCTTGTCCTTCAGTGTGTAAGTGTGTGTGTGTGTATGTACGTATGTGTATATATATATATATATATATATATATATATATATATATATATATATATATATATATATATATATATATATATATATATATATATATATATAATAAAATTGAACATAATAGCCTAAGTTGCCTAACAAGCCAAATTTCCATAAATATTTCCATTTTAAAAAAAAGTTAGCGTTTATATTGATAGAGCTTTAAATTTTAACTTACGTACATGATATGTAATTTTTTGTATTTGTGCCAAAAGTAACTTAGCAACCTATAAAGTTAGTTATTAATGTTGCCAATATACAGTACTCTGCTTACTTAAAATCTGACTATTTTTGCAAAGATATAAAAAATGGTTTATTTTAAAGGTAAAATGGACCTTGATTAGTGCACTTCTGGCTATTAGGAACTACATACATACATGTGCATATATTCATGCATGTACATATTCAAGTACTGGTATATACATGCCAGAATAATCACAAAACATGTGATTCAGTTATGCATAAGTCTCTGCATAGGAAAATTAAACAAAATTAATTAAAGCACTTTTGTAATTAAATACATTTTCAAATAAAATGTATTGAATCATGAAAGTGCTCAGATTAATTTAATTTGTTCTGTGTGCATATATACATACATATACTGTATTTGATGTCATTGTATATAATGATTCATACTATTTGAAGGTGCAGGTGAACATTCTAGCCTATGTAACTCCTGAACCCTGATGTGGCAGTTAAGAATAATTTCTGCCCTGATCTGTGCAGAATGATGTACTGTACAGTACTGTATTTTTAGCAAAGGTTTTATGCACTCAATGCTGACTGCCTGACTGTCACGGTAACATTTTCTGTGGCAGCCCATTTGTCGAGTTTGTATTTCATTCATTAGCAATTGTATGTAGGTTAGTTTTGATATCGCAGGTAACTGTATTTTCAAATACAGCTTTCTTCCATTTCATAAACTTGGTAAATATTTTTAAATAGAAGGAGTGTACAGCTCATTTTTGTACAAAGTATTTATTTTCACCTGTAAAGCACGGATTTATGTCATGTAAATAACTTCTTACTTTGAATAAGTAGAATTTGTACAAATGTCCTTCTGTTAAGGTGATCATCCAACAATATGAAAGCTATGTAGTTTTAGTTACATGCACCGCATTGTGTGTCAATATTTCTGTGGAGGCAATGCATCTGATTAATAGGGAAAACATTGTAGCTAAACAAAGAAACTGAAGGGAATAGTGTACTCATTGCCCACAACTACTAGGTTTGGTAATTAAGAGGGGTCTAGATATCAGTTACATAAAAGTACACTCCCGGTTGTACACAAAGGGATCTAATATGGACCACATCTATGCGAGGTAAAAATTTAGACCATTTATATGTTGACCGTGATCGTGATCAGTTGTATGTAAGTTTACATAGCAATCTGATTTGTTTGTACAAAAAATATCATGTTTAAAAAAAAATCATTACAAATGCTTTAACCCTTGTGCTGCTCTGGGCTTTAAATGTATAAATTGTAATGTATGTTGATTTTAATTTAAAGCTTAAACCTGAATGCTTATTAATTAGCAGTAATTTAACTATATTCATAAAATAACAACTGAATATTCTATTTTGGAGTTACCAATTAGTCTGTGCTTTTGATCTTAGAAGGGTATACTAAGTGCATTATCTTGCCTTCCTTGGTGTTCTGTGATCATATTTAATACATAAAGGTTCCTGAGCAGTATTCTCAATTGCCAGGAGGCCACCAACAAAGAGATCTCTTTATTAAAAGGATAAGCTGGCTATATGCTAGATTATCAAGAAGGATGAGAGCCAGTCAGTCATTGTTCCTAGGCAATGAGTTATTATTGAGACTATCAAGAAATGGGAACAATGCTGTGAGGAAGACGATAATTGAGAAGAATTTATCATGTGTGAATTAATACAGTGATCAATACTTGTATGCTTTGAACATAAACATAAGGAAATACATTATAGTAAATGTAACTGTAGAAGGTCTGTTGACCCATGTTTGGCAGACAAAGCTTCCTCATGTACAGTATATATCTAACCTTCTTTTGAAACAATCTGGTGATCTTTCTGTTTATCTCTGGTCAGAGACTAGGCTCAGGGGACATGTTCCTCAAGTGCCTCTAGGTAACCCTCAAGGTAAAATGCATACACATACTATATGTAACGGGAATGATTCAGTATTTTCTTACTCCTTTTTCTTATGCATCAGTGTGTCTATCAAGTTAAATTTAGATTCAGGTTTGAGCAGCAATATTTGCAAATTTGCTGATGATACAAAAATCGAGAGAGTAATAAACACGGAAAAAGACTCCCTATCACTTTAAGACGATCTAAATAAGGTTTTGAAATGGTCAAAAGATTAGCAGATGCAGTTTAATGCTGACGAATGTAAGGTTTTGAGGCTAGATGATAATATTAGAGTTAAAAGATATGAGCTAGATGGTGTTGAGATTGCGAAAGAGATCTGGGAGGCACGGTTAGTAAGAATTTAAAAAAAAAAAAATCAATGCATAAATGTTGATACTAAGGCAAATAGGACACTGGGATTTATTAATCAAAGCGTTAGTAATAAGACACCTACAGGTAGTGTTGTTCTCCAGCTATGTCTTACTCTGGTTAGTGTCCCATCTCTCGTTAAGATATTCCTTATTCCGACTTTTACCCGGTTATCCATTCCTCCATCCTTACCCGTTGGCAGGCTTGTTGGTCGTCTGTTACTGGTAACAAACTGCATACTCTTAAAAGTTGTGTGTCCTCGTGGCTGTCCTCCTACCACTGTAACCAGCGGTGGGAAACGGCTCTGGTGAGTTTGCGTATTGGCCATACTCGCTTAACTCATGGTCACTTGATGGAGCGCCACCCTGCTCCTTATTGTCCTAATTGCATTGTCCCTCTTAGAGTCGTGCATATCCTTGTTGAATGTTCTGACTTCCGGGACGAGCGTGTGTCTTGTTTTCCGACCGTCCCCCGCGGTTGCTTGTCTCGATAGTATTCTTGGTGACTTGGATACTTTTGATATCGTTCGCCTTATGCGTTTCTGTTCTCATATTGGCATCCTTGGTGATATTTAGCGCCCTCTGATTATACCGCACATTTGATGGTGCTACATAGCCTTCCCGGTTTGGTGCCTTCTTTTGATAATTACTTACTTGCTCTGGTTAGGCCCCATTTAAATTATGCAGTTCAGTTTTGGTCGCCGTACTATAGAAAGGATATAAATTCACTAGAATGCATCCAGCATAGGATGAAAAAGTTAATCCCCCCAAATTAGAAATCTGAAGAAAGATTAACAAAGCTTTAATTACATTTTCTAGAAAGGCGAAGAATTAGGGGTGACATGATAGAGGTGTACAAGTGGATGAATGGACATAATAAAGGGGGATACTAATAGGGTATTAAAAGTATGAACAGAAGACAGAACACAAAACAATGGGTATAAATTGTATAAGTTTAAATTTAGAAAAGACCTGGATCGGTAACAGGGCTGTTTTGTGGAACTAATTACCGCTTAACGTGCTGGAGGTGGGGTCTCATGATTGTTTCAAACGTGGGTTGGACATGTATTTGAGAGGTATTGGATAGTTATAAATAGAAGCCACCTCGTATGGGCCAGTAGGCCTTCTGCAGTTACCTTTATTCTTACATTCTTGTGTTCCTCTTTTATGCACAGGCTTTTCTCTCTGTGCACACCTGCAATGTGTTCCTTTGTATTGTACCTACCTTACCTCATAGAGATTCCACTTGTTAAATTTTATTAAAGCCTAACCTGTATGGTGAAGGCCATACAAAATCAACTGAGATCCTTAAACATTTTGACTGCAAATCATGTGCTACTGTTTTGTTTGCAAATGGGTCAAGATATGCTGATAATGTTGGCTTCTCTATTTTTTGATGTTGGCTTCTCTATTTTTTTTTTTTTTAGATTAAGCCTTTATGTGGATATCCTGTCCCAGAGATGACTATTTTTATGGTTTATCATTATGCCATTTTATGTGCTCTTAAGACAATTATTTTCCATGCGCCAACATTCGTTTGCTATTGTGGCTGACTGTCTGTTCTCTAATGACCCTGGAATGTTTTAACCCTTCACATCCCATGGTGATTGAAATCCAACATTGGCTGTTTCTTATCTTTAGCACATACAAGACAAAAATTCTGCTAGGTTCTCAGCTATTTTAGTCCTCTAATGGCTTTGCGGATTCTACCGCTAAAGAGACTGTTTGTGCCTGTACCATCTTCTAGACGTTAATTCCTTTCTCAGATTTCTGCCAAGTCATAACACATTCCGTAACTATTAGAGAGAGATAGTGAGGTGGTTAGATGGATTACATATTGACCACACACATGATTAACTTACTGGTATTTATCTAGAGCTATGATGAATTGTCACAGCTCTAGATAAGATTTACCACAGACATCTTCCCTAATCTGCCTAATGTAACATTCAAAGCAAAGTTTGAGGGAAATAATAACACTTTTCTTTACATTGGAGGCATAAGCAGTTAGAAAATAACACTTGCTACCTATTTTGTTACATAGTGTTATTTACTTTATTTTACACAACGTATCGTATTATAATTTTCGTAAGTACAATGTTCTTAGCCCTGGCACACATTATTTACATCCACAAACAACCGGGAGTATGCTGTACATAAGATATATTTTACTCCTTGTAAA